GCCAGGGTCCACACAGCTTTAATTTGGTGTTTGTTTGTTTGTTTGTGTCACGCCTGGCGCTATCCCGTATCTGTACCGTACCAGCAAAGACAGCTGGCTACTATATGTTTGTTTGTTTGTGCCATCGACATGCCTGGCGCTATCCCCTACCTGTCCCGTACCATCAAGAGTACGGTACCATCAAGAGAATGAGTATATATGCGAAGTGTATCGGGGGAATGCATTCAGTACAGTAACATTTCGTGTGGATTTGTGTGCGTATGGCCGCATATGGCCGATTGGTTTGCAGGCCTGCCTGCGAATCATGAGGTCCCGAGTTCGAGACCCGCGCTGGCAGCAGGGAGCGTGTAAAAAGACTTTTTACGCGTGTTGAACTGCGCCGACACCCACGGTCAACTGGGTACTCACAGCTCGAGTGAGGATAACAAGGATGCAGTTTACAGGGTTATGGGCCGTTACACGCCCGATTGGTTGAGAGACTCACCTCCTCTCCCCTGACTCACTTGTGAGGTCTGCATTCGCCACTAAGGTGTAAAGGCATAGTGGTGGCCTGCGGAAGCGAAGGCTATAGCTTGTGTGTTTCTGAACATTCAAGTGATGCTAACGCGGATCCCGCGAATATTATATTATTATTATTGTGTGCGAGGCCGAGAACCCACTAGCAGGCTGGCTGGTACATGGTCCGCCTGTCGACCAGCCCGGGGATCGCATGTAGGCTGATAGCATAATAATTATAACGTATCAGATTGAGTAATTATAACGTATATACAGTCATGTAGATCTATAGCAGGGAGTCATATTATGTAAACGACTCCCAGCTGTATGGGGGGGGGGGGGTGTTTAATTTTTTTTTATTTTTTTTTTTATATATATATTTTTTGGTCCCATCGGCCTCTTCATATTTGTGCAGCTGCACTGTTGAGCTTCCGATGTAAAACAAAAATAATAATAATAATAATGGGGAGATTTTCTGAAAAAAAATACGAAGTAGGGAGACGAGTGAATGCAATCAGAAAATCTCCCCATACAGCAGGGAGTTATATTATGTAAACGACTCCCTGCTGTATGGGGAGATTTTCTGAAAAAAATACGAAGTAGGGAGACGAGTAAATGCAATCAGAATGGATGTTAGTTGCCGTCAGTATAATAATAAGAAGAAGAAGAACGCCCGTGATCGGCAGAGTCAGCGCGGGTCCCATGAAACGTCAGGACAGACATCCCGTCGACTCCAGAACGCCCGTGATCGGCAGAGTCAGCGCCGGTCCCATAGCTATGCAGAAGGCGTTACTTGTACTTCTGTATCTCATTGAAACGTTTTTGCAATACAATGATGTAGCTAATCAAAGGGAAAAGCATTTCCATCAGTTCTAACAACATGCACGATGAGCTAGGCAACAAAGCATAGCGCAGGGCCCTGAGCTTCCAAGCTCTCTCGTTTGGTATTTGTTTGTGTGTTTGTTTGTTTGTTTGTGTCACGCCTGGCGCTATCCCGTATCTGACGGCAAAAATCATAGGGATGTTATAAATTTTTCAATTCTCCTATTTTTTCAGGCATATCCTGGGATTCGAACCCGCACTATCGCCCTACATGCATTCCCCCATGCACTTCGCATTCATAACCATTCTTCCAAGTTGCTTCACGTTATGATCTTGCGTTTGAAAGCCCTATTTGAATATTGCGGGCAGCTGTATGTGGCCAGCTGTGTTTGATGGTACGGTACGGGAGACGGTGTCGTATTACCCTCGATCGTACCTGTCCCGTACCTGTCCCTACCGTACCGTACCATCAAAGACGGCTGGCCACAATGCATATTCAAATAGGGCTTTCAAATGCAAGATCATAATGTGAATGAACTTGGAAGAATTAGTATGTATGCGAAGTGTATCGGGGGATGCATGCAGGGCGCGATAGTGCGGGTTCGAATCCCAGGTTATGTCTTAAAAAAAAAGGATTTTTTTAAAGACCGGGGGATGCATGCGGGGCGCGATAGTGCGGGTTCGAATCCCAGGTTATGTCTTAAAAAAAGGAATTTTTTAAAGAATTTATAACATCCCTATTTAAACACACGGCGAGGAGACAATAGTTTGATAACCGCAATCAATAAAACTAGCTGAACCGACATTTGTGTACTTTATTCATGCAATGTAAAAACGGTGGAGACGATGTGCAATAAAACGATGAAAATATGAAGAAATGGTGTAGACCCAAAAAGACCCACCTTGCATATATTTGGGCACCCTGTAAGAAGACCTTAGGGTCTGTTGGGAATGCTCAAGTAAAATAATAAAATACAATACAATACAATACAAATCAGTAGCTCCCACACCAACACCAACAACGCAATCTACAGCAACCACAACTAATCCACCATCTAAGCCCATAATTGAAAGACCAAGACGATCAACAGCCAACTACAACAGAAGCTACGCACTCCGCGGACAAGGGCGAAAGGAGGGACGTGATAGCAGGGTGACGGCCGAGTTGAGTTCAATGGACCCGGTCAGGCGGGATGGACGAGACAGAGAGAGTACAGAGGAAGCGGAGGATGGAACGGACGGCGGAGGGAGCAGTGAGTCGGAGAGCAGTGATGGGAGTGATGGTGAGAGTGCCGGTAAGAGTGTTAGTGTTGTGCGTAGGTTTCGTGGTAGCAAGTCTTCAGTGTACAATCATCTGCTAGCTAGTCCTGATTGTTGCAATTCGTATTCCGACTCTTCGTTCACTGTATTGTGCCGTGGTCGTCATGGTTATGGACTACAGTTAAAAGTGTTGGAAGCTATCTATCAGCGTCTGTATAAGCCTAATTTGTGTGTACAGAAAGATAGTATAATTGGGTTGAAATTGTTCAGGTAACGTGTCGTGTTTAGTGCGGCCAAGCTTGGCCGTTAATGTTCTAGGTGTAATGTACTGCTGTTATGTGTTATCACGTTGTCTTTCCTTCCTTTCTCCTTTGTTCATTTCTCACTTTGATTTTATTATTGTTAAAATTCACACTTGTAAATTTCACTGCTGTTGCTCTTAGTGTTATTTCTCTAACTTAGATTTTCTATAATAGTTCAATTTTTGTTTCAGTGTCCTTTAGTACAACGACGATTCCTGATGAGTGTTGTACGAAAACTTGTTTGAATCCATATTTTTTCCCTACACCATTTCTTCATATTTTCATCGTTTTATTGCACATCGTCTCCACCGTTTTTACATTGCATGAATAAAGTACACAAATGTCGGTTCAGCTAGTTTTATTGATTGCGGGTATCTAACATCCCCATGCTTTTTTTGTCTAGGTCATCAAGGCAAAAAAGCATAGCGTAGGGCCCTGAGCTTCCAAGCTCTCTCGTTATTATTATTATTATTATTATTATTATTATATTCAACCTATCGTCCCTAAAGCCCAACAAACGAGTCACGTTGGTCATGCATGTATATGTATGTGTACGTGTACCATGGTGTACGCAGAACTAATGTTAAAGTCGTTGTTGCTTCAGTATCGTAAACCGACTGGCGTGTTCTTGCATGAATCGGTTAGCGGGGTGTTCAGAATCTTGTTCAATTAATTGTGTACACGTACTTGTGCATGTGGCATGGGAGGTGACGACCTTGGAGAAAACGCTCGCGCCAATCACAATGGAGAACACACTCATGCTTGACGGGAGCCAATCATCGTCCGTTTCGATGCGAAGATTTGACCAATCCGCGATCATCGCGCCAATTGGGGAGTCGGATTATAAACAGCGAGCCAAGCGATTCTACCCTCACTTCTTTTCTTTTCAGGCAGCGCTTCCGAGCTGTTGTGTGCCCTAGGAAAATTTTACGCTAACGTCCGTGAACAGGGCTGTTCTGAGTAGAAACGAAATTCCTGGCTTGCCGCTTGATCTGCAATCATCGGGCCATTGACATGTTGAGCGTCCAAAACCTTGTTTGCTCCCTGGAACGCTCCGTCTGTGAAGATGATCACTGTTGGTTGATGACTTGCCAGCACCTGGTCACATGCGGATCCAGCGGCAATGGCAAGCAAGGAATTTCGTTTGTACTCAGAAAAGTCCTGTTTACGGAAGTTAGCGTAGAAAATGTCTAGGGCACTCGACAGCTCCGGTGCGCTGACTGAAGAGGAAGCTAGCGCAGCACCGAGTACTGCTCTCTTTACAGTAAGTATCGAAAAGTGGTGAATATAAGTGGTGAATATAAACGGCGAATATTCAGCAATATTCACCACTTATGTAGATGGCCAATTGTATGTGGGTGAATATGGAATGAGGTATAAGAAATAATACATAGCAGACTATCCAGAGGACGCACAGATTGGTTGTAACCCTGAATTTCTTTCCGCTAGGCAGTCATCTGACAACTGATACTCAGATCTACCCAGCAGTGTGCTTATCAACACATAGGGCCACAAGCAAAACCTAATTTAGCTCAAATCTGGTGGCGTAAGGTATGGGGAGAAAGCTGGCGCGGGCGAAGGCACTAGGAGAGGCAACAGGCGACTGGAAGGGCAAGGAGGGTGGCGGGCAACATACAGGCGTAAGCATGAAAGCGCGGACAGAGTCGATAATAATATATTATGTACTTTACACACACAACTGAGGCGAAAGAACAATATGTACTTTATGCAGGTGAACACCAAGGCAGACGTTTTGGCATGATGATTCTAAAATAATGACACCACGGGTACATCAAGTAAGACTATACAACTCCGATTGGTTTGGCCCACGGCGGAATATTTTGTTGACGTCACCATTTCTGGAGATCATGAGTCATACCATACGAGAATTGTGCGCTATGAGTACGGTAAAAAGGAACAAAAGTTGGAGAATAAGTTTAAAAATTGGTATTGAAAGCAGCGAAACCACAAACTTCCGATAAAGGTCGTCTTCCAGAGCACGTTTTACATGTGCTTTGCACAATATACGTCATAGATCCTGAACAAGCTGTGCAAGTTGTGATTCTTAGATCATATAGGCAACCCTGATCTGGCTTGTCTTCTTTGCCGAATCCTCTGCAGCTACTACTTCAACACCAACACGTCAGCACACGACATGGGTAGCTATTACTTCAAAACCAGCACGTCAGTACACAACATGGATAGCTATTACTTCAAGTACTTCACAACCAGCACGTCAGTACACGACTTGGATACCCGACATCTCTCTCAATCAACTTGCAAAGGTGAGGTTGATCCTAACTTCCAACTCCTCCGAGCTATTCTGCAACTATTCCCCAGTGCGCTGCTTACCGACTCTGTTTGTGATCAGCTACATAGGCTACAACATGCCCATCATTTTCCACTGAACGGAAACTCCGTACCAATTACGATACCGGGCAGGGTCAGTGGGTTGGTCAAAGACCATGCTTGACATCAGACAGGTACATGTACCTGGTTCAGGTCCTGGCTGGGAGCGATTTTTCCAGTCGTGCTGCTACCCACAGTCAACTGGGAACTTGTGGCCAGGCACAATGGACACACGGATGCGGCTATTGGGGTTTCTCAGCACTTGTGCCAGTGGTGGCGAGCCTTATCCACTCACCCCCCCCCCCCACCGATACTCGATAGGCGCTGCATCTTCCGGGAAGGGTTTTCCGGGTGATAGCGGCCGTCGTGAGTTCCCTTCACGATAATTTACTTCTTTACTTCATTAGGATGGAATGCTGCTCTGAGTCCTTTCCGTCACTGGGCATAAACATCACTGATGAGGGGAGTGTGTTTTACTTCAAAAAAGAACACCGCGGCGATAACTGAACTCGACTGATACAGAACCGTAATACATTTCACGCAGTTGTCACCCGCACATAATATCTACATTTATAACATCAGTACACGAGGTCACGCCGCTCTGCCTGAATCAGGTATTGAGCACTTCCCCAGAACCTAAGCATACTGCCTCTGTGTATAACATCAGTAGGAACTTTTGCTGATGACCGCGACGGTGCATGACACTTTCAACGCTGTGTGATACTGTTTTAAGATAAAATGAAAAAACCTTCTCTTGTTTCCTGTGTTCAGGTAGCATAATTATGTACTTGAAACAAATTACTTGATCAATCTACCCGAGCTACATGTATGTATGTGACCTGGTTAGAAAGAGTATACCCAATATCTTCAAAACAATTATTCCCGCCATTCACACCGAATGCTGCTCTTTCACCTCTCTGTAAAATATACCTAATCCATCTATTTCCCTTGTTCCATAATTTGCTCTTGCGTATATGTCACTCGTCAAATCCTTAAAGCATACTTGAGGAATTGTTCATAATGGTGTTGAAGAGCCTGGAACGTGTTCTTCCTCTACGGGTTATACAGTAAAACCTGGTGTTAGCGACCCCTGGGTTTGGCGACCACCTGCTCCGACCGTTTTCCATACAGTCACAGTTCTACACAGCCACTATCGGACCTGATTCTAAAGACCACCTGGCTTTAACGACCGTTTTTGCTTGCACCGTGGGGTGGTGGTCGCTTGAACCAGATTTTACTGTAGCAAATTTTCGTCCCATGAACCTGAACAGTCGTACTCCTTTTGTCTTTTCACTGCATACAGATTCGAGTGAATGCCAGTGATCCACAGCAGGTAGGAGACACTGCAGTTCAGCTGCAGGCACTGACCAGTAACAGCCCTGCTCTCACGGAGGGCGATATAGGCCACGCTGGAGAAATCGTCGACCAGCTGGCAGCAGCCATCAAGGATTCACAAACCACAAGCATTAGTGCCACGCTCAAAGTGCAGGTGAGAATGTCACGAAACATTCCCATTGAATTAAGTCCCATTATATGTCAATTGGAAGAAGAGGTTGGTGCGACTTCGGCGACACATGGGGAATTGTGTGTTGCTCCCTACATAGGATCTCGCGCTATTCTTGCCGACTTGAATTTTCACTAGACTGACTCACGACTGCCATCCAGAGCACACGAGTAGTCCATTGAACCTTCGATTCGGCAAACCTGCAAGAAAGCACCACTCCCTGCTCAATACACAGTATTTCTGGGAATTGACCCCTCATCAGTTGAGCTTGAGTAGGCTGAGTAGCGGAAGAGAAAGTAAAGGCACAAAGGCACACGATGAAAACTTAGGCAAAATTCCGTTGTGACTCAGAGTTTCATGGCTGAACCAATCATCACCTGATTTTGCTAAGGTTTTCATTGTGCGCCTTTGTGTACGCCGCTGTAGTGTGTCACTGTAAGGTGGTAGCCCTTGTCATGTTTTCGCTGCTGGATTGCCGTCAATTGTAATGTTAGTGCAGCACAAATTTTTGTTGTCCTGTGCGAGCTCAACTGGTGAGAGCTCAACTGAGGAATCACCCACAGCTACAATGCACCGCACCGTGTGGCTGTGTAGGGTTGTCCAATGGCAGATGTTCCACAGAGTGACTAAAGTATTATGATCTCTCGAGGGATTCGCACAATACTCCTGCGGCATTACAGTAGTCGCTACCACTCTTTTTTCAAAACTCTTTCTCAGCGTTTCGAAAATCACGGGTACTCATTATGAGATTTGATCTGAAAATTACGAAATGTGAAAGTCGATTTCCCCTTTCTGCATTTGTCACAAGCACCAGGTCATTCCTAGGGTTCCTAGTAAAAAGGCAACGCCTGTTGGGAGTTTCCTAGTAAAATAATGAATTCTACTCCTCCTCCTCCTATTACTACTACTATTATTCATTTTACTCTTTTGTATAACAGTTGCGCCGCATGATCACATTTGTGTGGATCTCCTCAGATTCTTAACAATATTTTGTCGGCAGTGGACAGCATCATGAAGGTGAAGCCGGGCAAGATTGGACCCAAGATAGGCATACGGTAAGGTATAGAGTCAACTTCGCTACTAACTACTGCGGATACAAGGACAATTCGCGAGTAACGACAGATTTTCCATGCCCAGAGCAAAGTTCCATCTAACTGTAATACATATAATGAGACTTCGCGGATATGGACACATTAAAAAATTCTGATACCCCGCCGAGTGTCGTTATACGCGAAGTTGACTGTACGCAGGTATAACCTGAAGCTGCGTTTACACGGAGACGAAGTGAAACGAAACGTAACAAAACGGAACGTTTTCAAATCGTTTACACGAGAACGGCAAGTCGCTTTGAACCGTTTACACGAAAACGGAAAACGGACGATCAGGCTGGAGTTAGCACTTGCTGGCTTGGCGCAAGGGCGGGAAGTAACACGTTAGTTGGAGTTAATACGTGCTGGTGGTCGCAAGGGCCGGGTATTTCCCTCGAAATATACTCCAGCGCGGAATAGTTTCCATGACCGCACTACTTTTCCAATCGTTTTCACTGTTTTCACCGTTTACACGAGAACGAAAACGTTTTGAAAACGTTTCAAAACACTTTGAAGTGCGTTTTCATTTCGTTCCGTTTAGCGTTGTCGTGTAAACGATAGTAGTAAACGGAGTAATAGTAGTAAACGGAACGATTTCGTTCCGTTTAGTATTATTTCGTTCCGTTTAGGTCGTATTTCGCTGTCGTGTAAACGCAAATCGTTTTCATTCGTTTTCGTGTAAACGCAGCTTAAATCACTAATCTGAATCTCTGCCGTGCTTTGTGAGGAATTTCCAAATCCGTGGCCTTCTGTGATCCCTCCACCGATAGGCAACAATGCATTTAGGACCGAACTCGGTGTCCTTACTTGCTGGATATGTACCATTGTGTCGAGTTCTCCTCCTCATTTTAGTTTATCCTGCAGTGGGTGTTCAATAAAAGCCGGATTCGCGGCCGCATCGCCTGATGTGTTGAGAAAAAACATCAAACAAATACATTCGCATCAGCGGGCCACCACTTCACCCATATACCCTTAGTGTCGAATGCAGACCTCACAAATGAGTCAGGGGAGAGGGGATGAGTCTCTCACCAACTGAGCGGGCGTGTAAAGGCCCTATAAGTATAACCCCATAAACCGCATCCTTGTTACCCTCACACCGAGCAAGTGAGTACCCAGTTCACCGTGGGGGTCGGCACAGTTCATTGCATGTAAAGTGGTACTCGCCCGTATCACCGCGATGGAGAGAGCACTAAACACACTCCCTGTTACCAGCGCAGGTTTTGAACTCGGAACCTCATGATTCGCAGGCAAGCCTAAAAACCAATCGGCTATCGCGTTGGGGGGGGGGGGAGGGGGGGGGGTTTCAATATTGAAAAAACAAAAAAACTTAACGGTATCTGTGAGACTTCATCACAAGTCGTTCACCTTTTTTGTGTTGCGTTTCAGTTTGGCCCAAACTCTAGAGAGCGTTGCTACCTCGTACAGTGCTGGTGGGGCGAAGCGGGAAACTGACGGTGTCTTCCTGAAGATAGTGGAGGAGGACATTTCAATGCTTGTCAGCTGTCCCGCAGAAACTGACCATGCGCAGGTGTTTGCTCATTTAGAGGATAGCAACGATGTGTACATTGGATCAACTGCGAATGTCACAAACAGTACGTCAATTTTGTTATACAGGGGTCCCTCTATAATTCGGCACCATTTGTGCCACGGAAAATCTGCTGGATTAGGGAGGGTGCTGGATTCACAAATCTGATTTTCTGCTAATACGTGCATGAAGAGGACATTTTGGCTACTGAAAATTGTGCTGGTTCATCGAGGGTGCTGGATTATAAAGTGCCGGATCAGAGAGGGACGACTGTACATGTATTTAGCAATCCTTATCGGGCCTCATGTTGTGTTCTGTGATCGTTTTTGAAGTGGTTTTGAGTCACCTAGGACTCAGCTAAATGCATGACTCCTATCACAAAAATGTACTAATTACGAGGATGTTTGCAAATTGCAATAAAGTACAGGACCTCGAAGTCACAAGTGAGCTGTGGATTTTGTGCATTGAAGTGCATGGCTGCGCATGCATGGGTGTGTTAGCGATTTTATACCTATGTGCCCGTATGTGTGTGTTTGTGCATGCATGAGCGTATTATGTGTGTGAGTATGAGTAAGAGTGTGTGTTTATGAGTGTACAAACTTGTACGAGCTCGTATGCATGAGCAAATGTGTGTCCTTACATGTGTGTATGTTAGTGTATGTGCGTTCGGGCATGCGGATGCGTACTTACGACTGCCTCTCCCCCCCCCCACACACACCGCCACCTTCAACACCTCCCCCCCCCCCCCCAATACCACCACCAAGGTCGGCTGTGCATGAGATCTGTGGCGAATGGCGTGATACAATACTTATACATTTCCAAGCCTTGATGCCTCTTGATCGGAGCTCTGCGCCTGTTGGGTTGTGCTAACCCGCCGCTTGCGAAATATAAATATGTATAATCACCTATTTTTCATAGAACGTGATACCTCGATACATCTGTTTACACCGAAAACTAGCCAATACGTTCGTTGTGTTGCGTATTCTCCGTTGTCAGTTCCAGAGATGTCCACGCTACACGTGATACTACCACCAAGTGCGTTGAAGGCGGCACCTTCCCATTCGACACCTCAAGCCACCCTATCACATTGCCAAGTACAACAGACCTCCTTCATTCTCTATAAATCAGCCATCCTCTTCCAAGATGACGGTCTGGCGAATGAAACACGAGTGGCCTCTGCAGTTGTCTCGGCCAATCTCGGGAGCACGGAAACCGACCATCTGAGTGAGGATCCAGTTACTCTGACTTTCCCACTGTCCAATGAACTAGTGAGTGAATACCAGCTTATGAAGTCCGAGCATTCAGTAAGATTCTGCTCAGCAAAAACTCTCACTGGCAATACCGGTAGCTTTGGCTATGCCAGCAAAATCCACATACATGTAACCACTGAAGTACTTACTGAAGTTGACTGTTGTGTCACCTTTTAAGTAGGTACATCGGTAAATTTAGAAAACTTCACTTCTCAACCGCAAAAACGGTTTATTCACTGTGATTCAAAACAGAATTAAGATTCACATTACACCAAATTTTCGGGCCTGGCCCATCATCAGGGTTCATTTCCCTGATGATGGGCGAGGCCCAAAAATGTGATGTGATGTAAATCCACAGACAGAAGAACGAGCAGCTGCGGTTTGGTAACTCCGAGTTTCAGGTACATAATCGGCAAATTGAGCCCTCTACGGACGGTGGATGGGCTTCACATGGTGTAATGTAAATCTTAATTTTATTTTGAATCGCAGTGAAGAGGCCGTTTTTGGAGTTGAGAAGTGAAGTGTTCTAAATGTGTAATGGCTGCGTTGGAGTTAGCGGACAATTAGAAAAGGTTACATCAGTCAATGTAAATCAAAACTTCTGGTCTTGTGTGAGTTCTCGTAATTACATTTTTCTTTGTAATTTTCCATTCATTTTCTGCTCTAATTCATATTTGCTTTGTTTTCCTAGCTTACTATTGCCGTGGCTGGCTCAACGCCCTTGTCTCAGGGGATTCTGTCCCTGCATTAGCTATGCTTGTCACATGCTATGAGATTGTGTCTAATAATAATAATAACATGAATTTCCTGTTGATGGGTGATTCGTTCTGCATTACCGATATTCGTAAGGTCCACTGCAGCCAAATAACCATCATGATATGCTAACAAACTATAAACACCCGCACCACTGTAATGATCTGTGTTATGCTGTGTCCACTGGTTATTGTGCTGCTCTTGTGCAGGCTGACACAGGATTTTCTCCAACCTGCGTGTACTGGAACTACGAAAGAGGTACGTGACGCTAATATTTTACAAATTGATGGTTGTCTATGACTATAGCTGCGTCCAAGTATTCCAGTTCAAACGAGCCAAATAGTCAGCGTTTTAGGAGCATGGCAATTTTTGTAGCTAAAAAATAAGTTCAAATATCACTGTTTGTCAAGTAACTTTAGAAAATGGGAGTAAACTATTGTCTCCAATGGGAACTCACGACGGACGCTAACAACTGAAATGCTACTCACAACGGGTTTATTCAAACAATACGACATGTAAAGAAGGAGGAACACCAAAGATACAAGGGATGAAACTCGGCGATGGAATCAAAATGAAAATTTAATATAGTTGTTTAGTATCTGGTGGTGTGGTGGTGTTAGTGGACATTATAGCGTAATTTGTAGTTCCTTGGTCCATTTGTTTCTTATGAAAGAGTCTAGTACAGGTCTGCTCTCGATATACCACCTCTCACTTGTACATAAACCTCGCTAGTACGTAAAAAAATCATATCCCGCACCGAAACAGCATCACTCCCATACAAATTTTGTTCTACACAACATAATTCTACATAACATAAACCTCGACATAACACACGCTACGGCGCGGTCCCCGACGTGCGCACTCTCGATACAACATTAATTCAAGTGCATGGTACGATCAAGCGGTTGCTGTGGCTAGGCAGTTTAGGCCAGTTTAGTCCTACATAACGTAAACTTCGGTATAACGCACCCTACGGCGCGGTCCCCGACGTGTGTACTCTCGATACAACGTAGATTCACATGCGCGGTACAATCAAGCTGTAGCCGTAGCAAGCCAGTTTAGTCTTATTGTGTATATATTCTACGGCATTGATGGTATCAGATGTCGATGGTGGTACAGTGTGTAAATGTTTGAAAGGTTGAACCCGCCTTGTAAAACCCTTCATTTTGAGGTACATCTTGTATTTTACACACGGTTTTCTACATAACATAACTCTCGATATAACATAATTTTTGCGTGGTCCCACACATTACGTTATATGGAGACTAGACCTGTAGTAGTAGTATTAATTTAGTATTTGATTAGGGGAGACCCAACAGGCATGACCCTGTTATAGGGAACCCTAGGTGAATCTTTGTCAGGTGAGCAAAAGTACCAGACGATTGTGCCTGACGTCTAATCCAAAGAAACTCAAAGCAACTGGAATACTACTTTTCAAGATCTAGACGTAAAGGGAGGATATACAAGGGTGCAAGTTATGCAGTAGAGTCCACCAACTACATGTACAATATTTCCCAGGTCATCAATAATTTTAGTGATTCAATTCTTCCATGCACTGTCTCCGGATTGAGAGATTGCGATTGGATGCATTGTCTGTAGGTGGATGGAGCACAGACGGCTGCTACTTGGCTAGGAAAGTGATGAACGGAGCCAGCATCACAGTCCAGTGCAAGTGCACACACCTCACAAACTTTGCTGTGCTGATGGTGAGTGATAGGGGGCGTTCGCTTTTGATCTACACGTTTGGGTAGAAACTACTTCTTTCGATAGATGCGTTCCTTTTTCTCTACTCAAAAAAGTAGATTCTACCTTTCTCTACCGGCTATGCCAGGTTTGAAGCTGGTAAAGGTACGGAATGTCCAGTTGTACACAATTCCATAGAGAAGAAAACATTTCACGTACAGATCGTGAAAAGCTACTAAATCCGGTAGTACAACTTTCGTGCACTTACCTCTACCTTCTACCTCTCTCGGTAGAATCACTCTACTCTACCAGGTAGCTAAGAAGGAACGCAGCCTGAATAGTCTTTTTTTTCTGTACCATAAAATAATTATTGTAATGAAATTTCAAGCTTTCCGTGGACACACGGCTACACCGAATTTTTCCTGATTCGTAGGAATGCCACCACCCTCAAGGATCAAGGAGCAGATGCAACTCCTAAAGCGATGGGATGTGAGTAGATCACATTCTGCACAAAGTTGTCAAAGTCCGAAAATCCAACTCGCGAAATCTATGTTTCCCTTGTGCAAGCCCACGAGTTCCCAATTAGTTGTTGATTGCAGTACGGCTGGAAAATCTTTCCACTTCTAAGCAGGCTTTTCGGACCAAAGCCAGTCGACTCAGAGTCCAAAAGACTACAACATATGGGTCAATCGCGGTCATATGGACTTTCATCAGAATGATTTTGCGCTTTTAGGCACATTTTGCATACAAACCACCATCTAGTAGGGCGCAGTCACCCAGTTTTGGTGGAAGTGCGCCAGTTCGATTGGGAATAAAGGAGGAAGGGAGCGTCTCAGATTCCTCGGACCAAGACCAATCGACTCATGACCCCGAAGACTACAACTGGTGAAAATTTGATTTAGGCTTAACTTCCCCTTTAAATTGGGGTAAATCTGAACTTATGCTACTTATCACGGTATGTTAAGAAAAACGGTTGAGCTACAAATTCTGGAAAGTCGGGCAGCTAGACTGCTAAGCACACCATTATTTTTCTTGTCACCTAACCTGTTCAATGTTTGTTTTCTGTTTGCCATACGTCGTCTAGTCTCGCGATGCCATTAGCACACCCAACAAGGCTCTAAGCATCATCACCTACATGGGCTGCGCCCTGTCTGCAATCGCGTTATCCGCTGCCATGGTCACAATTGCGAGTTTCAGGTTTGTGAATGTATTAGTTTCCAACTGGCGATGGTGATTGTGTGTGGAAGTAATTTGAAGTATGCACTACATGTACATGTATGATATGTGACACTCTGCGTCACGGCGAATCTCAACTGGCCTCCTTTCGTCTTTCTCCTTTGAATCACTCTGCACTTTGTGAACAGAGGACTTCGCCGGCCATTTGCCGATATTGTCCGCTTTGGAAATGTACGCGTACATCTCATTGAAGTGATGGGAACAGCGATAGATCTTGTTCCTACTAACGTTCTCCGTGTAGTATTCTTGTTGTGACATGTATTCCCCAAACCATTAATCTGCTTGCTTCTCTTGATCTGTCTTCATTATCATATTTTCATGTTTTGCCGACCACGTTTTGGGTTCTCGTATTTCCCTCACTCTCTTTGGCTTCTTCAGGACAATGAGGGCAAGACGACACAACCGGATAGTGTTCTTGCTGTGCACCGATTTGCTGCTGGCGATTGCATTCTTCGTGTTTGGCATCACGGCTACATCCAACCAGGCAGCTTGCACGTTTGTCGCACTGTTTCTTCACTTTCTCTTCCTGCTGATGTTTGCACTGACTTCCTTGGAAGCCGTCATGCTCTACAAACAACTGGTGGATGTGTTCGGTGGGCTGAGTGACGTCACCACAAGGATCCTCCTTCTATTGACGTTCGGTAAGACGATATGACCCACAGGATACTTTCACTGAGTCACTACTTCACGTATTAGTCCACACTACTGCGCAATAAGCAATAGGGTTTAACGGGTGTCAGCGGCCGTCGTGAGTTCCCTTCGGGAACGGATAAGATAATTTAACTCTTTTTTTTACTGCGCGATTATCATGGTTTTCTTGCATCATTCACCTTGACACTAGTGTCTTCTAAACACCAAGCCGTTGACTTTATCTGCACAACATTAATACCTCCTCTCTAATCTGTGCTTGTGCGATTTTGACAGGGCTTCCCCTGTTCATAGTTGGAATGGCAGGAGGGATCACAAGGCTTCGTGCCCACGGCAACAGCAAATAGTAAGAATATCCAGTGTTGGTTGATTTTACAATCTCGCTCATCATCAATCTGTTCTCACTGCAACGTACTAGTACACAATAAGTTACCCAGGTAGTCATGAAGATTTGTCCGAAGCACCCGCTTTTTATCTTCGGAGTAGGGCAGGGTTCCTAAGTGTTGCTTTTGCCACTCTTTCCTTTTGCCTGCTAACCCCGTCTTGTCTTTATCGCCGTGGTTGGCTATGGCCCACTATCTTCACATTGGCCGGTGTTTCCACTGAGTCTTGAGATGTAATAAATAAATAGATAAAATCATAATGGACTCGGCTGGAGAGCCAAGGGTAAATTTATAGAGTTGTTGGAGTGCGCATCCAAGATGTGCTAGAGCTATTAGCCTGTTAGTTGTAGAACGTCAGTACCGTCGGTCAGTATCTTGCAATTTTAGCGCATGAGCTGATTGTTTAATAACTGGTGGTGTTAGTGGAAATTAGAGCGTAACTTGTGGTTCCTTGATCCTTTTTCTTTTCTAAAAAATCATATCCAAGTCAGACGACCATTCATGCCTTAATACTGCCCAACTTGTTGGTGCATGTGGATTGGTTTCTGCAGTTGCTGGATCACGAAAGACGCAGTGTTCTACGGGTCCTTCATAGCTCCCATGTGCGTCTCACTTGTGTTCAATATCGTGGTGTTGGTGCGAGTTGTGGTCTCGTTGCATGAACGTGGCTCCAATGTTGCATCCGCCATCACCACCAAACACACATCTGGCGTGCAATATTTGCTGCGTGTAGTTGTATTTCTGTCGATTCTCCTAGGTGTTTCCTGGCTGTTTGGTGCCCTGGTAGCCGTCTATGATCACCTCGCTCTTCAGTACATCTTTGCCATCACCAACACTCTCCAGGGGCTGGGAATCTTTGTGCACGTGTCACGTGATGCCGAGGTGCGTTCTGCCTGGAGAAATTCGATCATGTCCGTCCTCAGTCATGTCTCTATTGCCTCCCATGCGAGCTCCAAATCCAGCCAGGCAGCCCCCGTCCAGCTACGTGAAGGACGCAATGCAGCTGCAGCGATAAAGAGCCTTCGCAGGGAGAGCAGTGCGCACGTGGAACAAGCGTCAAGAAGTGATGCCAGCGATGGTGGAGAAGCGGGTGGTGGTTTACACACTCAGGTCATTCTTTCCGAGCAAAGTGAGAGTGCGTGCTATACTCTCAAAGAGACGAGTGATGTAGCTGCCAGCCATGCGGAGCTGTTATGAGCTAATTCAATGTGCATCAATGCATGCCAAAGCGTTCTCTTCTGTTGCTGCAGGCACATTCCTGTCTATTTTGCACGACATTGCACTTCATTCTAAGCCATTATGCATTGAAATCATAGAGCTGGGCTCCGAGTATGACAGTTCTAGCTTTCTACAGGAGAATCACGCTGTCTGTTTTACATTATAGAGTAGCACACACATTCTGAATTAGACTTTTACCTGGTATCATCTGCTGTCAGTTTCGGCAACATAACTTTTCATGCATTGTGATGGTGAAGCGTGTTGCCGTCAGCCGACCTGGACTCGCTCGTCCTTCGAACATTAGACCTTTTCTAAAGTTTCGAATTTCACGACACCGCATCATCCTGCAGCACAGACCACCCTCCCTAAACGCGTTAGGTTTGGCTATTGAAATTACCGCCTTTCTCCGTAACAGGTTTCCCCTGTTCGCGCTCTCTTTAGTCACTATCCCTGTAGAATGTACATGTACACGATTGTACATGCATGTATGTGCAACATCAAACATCTTGCTGTAATACCCCATCACTTTGCACCTTACTCCTCACCACACACTACTCATGCAATTCTTATGCATATCTTTCACCTTCCCCGCCGCTGTTTTTTTCACTTATTCGCAATCACCTTTTTCTTACCCTCTTGCTGGTGTGATGCTGAGTTGTGTTGCTCGTATAAAGTTGGTGCGTACTTTACCGATCCTCTCTTGCTGCGTTTCGGTGGTCATGAAAACGAGACCCCAGATCGGCGGAGCTCCCTAAACCTCACCTCCACTGCCACGATTCATGTTGTGCGTGCGTCCCTAGTTGCCTGCATGTTGGTCCGCATGATTCGACCCGAACACGAAGTGATGTAGGTGTTCGTCAAGTAGGAACTGTGACATTTCCGTTGTCATATTCACATAATAATAATGGTTGCATGCAGTGTGCTGAACGTGCTTGGTACTGTAACCTGCTTATAGTGTACAGCTCCGGCAGCCATCCTCTGGTTCTACGGTGCTGTTTGCCGCGTGGTTGGCTGTTGGTTGAAATGTACACGATGTGACATTGTTATCAGGACTTTGGCATACACCGAATATTACCTGCTGCTACGTGCGAGCTCCCTCTGAAAAGACGTACATTTCCTTAGTATGAACGTTGTCCTGGGAACAAGTGTATTGTGTCCCAATGAGGTGCATGTACGTCCACATAGCTATATGTTGGGATGAGAAGTGCCTCGGATACAACGTTTTCTTTGCTGTCCCACCGGGGAAGCACGTTTTGGTCAGATTTCGAACGTACTTGTACTCTTATCACGTTTCACACTCACACACGCACGCACGCACGCTCACAAACACACGCACACATACTCGCGATCACACGTTCAATCACACCACCACACACGCACGTACAGCACTCATAATCTGTCATCAAGGAAGGATGCAACGCAGTCACCCCTATTACCACTATCTCGATTGAACACCATTTTTGCTGCTGGTCAAACATGCTGATTTGTATCTGGGCTCATATGCATTCTACTGTTTTTAGATATCTGCGTACTTCGAAGTAGCTCAATAGAGAGGTCAAGATGCACGTTATTTCCGACGCGACGCGAAAGTTCAGCTCGCGCTGTTTGGCTCGCACGGCGAAAAACAACGCGAGTGACCTGCAGCCCACGTCGAAATGTGGAGTTTTACACCAAACATGACGTGAAATTGCGCGTCTTTTGAAACCTCTCTACTATGAGTATTTGCCTGCTCAGGGTGCACCCTGTGCTGACAGGGAGAACTCCGGAAAGCTGCCAGGTTTGCGACAGCAGTGCACCAAGGTCTGCATGGGGGCAGAGGAAGGAACAAAATCAAATCTGCTGTGCACATGCCAACCGGAACACACAGGCAGCTTCAAGCCATTATCGACGAAGCGAACACCTTTCAACTGTATCGAATTATGTTGATTAGTAGCTTCTAAAGCTTTGGTGCCGCCACTTGTAGAACTAAGTGTTGGCTACGTGTCAAAGGACATCTTACCGGGTAACATAACCATCCTTTTAACAAAATTTGCCAGAGGCTATACGCCTCCTGATCACACCTATCGGTTTATCGCTAGAGCAAATAAAAGGTCCCAGGACAAGTGAACGCGTGTGCCGCCAGTGATAAGCCAGACATAAGAGAACGTGCAACTCGGGGATCACTGCTTTCTGTCCATCTATCTGGCTCGTAGATGAAGAGGAGAAGCATATTGTGACCAGTCAGCAAGTGAAATTATCTTTTTGCCTGCAAAGCAACTGTTGGTGCGTGTCGAACTGCAATCTCTGATTAATTCTCGCACTAGGTCGCAGTGCATTCGAGCAAGACCGGTGTGCTGATTGATTTTACCCAACGGCGTGTTTGGAACTCTTTCACCGTGAGAGACTGTATGTTCGAAAACCTTAACGTCTCACGTGCAGCACTCTCTGTGCACTAATCTGATGGAGGGCTCACACAAGACTGTATCGGTTCTGGTGGTCATATTGTGTTACGGTAGTTTCGTCACCATCTCCATCACACATGCCTGGAAGGAGCCGTGCGCGAACCTATGCCACTGCAACATCACGTATGTCCTCTGTCCTGCTCAGAGTGCTCTGCAGTACGTACCAACAGTGGTCATTAACGGCAGCAGCAGAGAGGCCATCATCCCTTATATGTAGGTACCAGTAACTTTGCCGTGCTGAATATACCCTTGTTTACATTAGCTGGTTTGCGGCCTATATTTCATGAGTGGATGTGTACCTTCTATTTCAATTACTTAGTCTCAGGAGGTGGGCCGGCCCTCCAGCCCCTCAGTCAGTCCTGGTTCGAATTCGGATCGATCAATCCAACGCGTCCGACACTGGAAAGCAGCAGTTTAAGATTCCTAGCAGTACAGGTGTGGTAACAGGTTTGATCTTAGAACAGAAAGGTTGCAGGCTGTCCAAAAGACTGCTCAATGCCCAAGGTCAGTGCTACTTACAACACGAAGAAGAAGGTCAAGAATTCTGTTCTGTTTCATCTACAAGGTGATCATTGGACAATATTCTTACTGTTTTAATCCCATTGTAGCAGCGAGAGTTTGGGCTGTGTACTTTTACAAGTAGGTATAGCAAATCTACATCATGTTTGCGAAACGTCATTCCCGCTGCTGTGTATTATGTTTTATGCTTAGGGACCTGCGATGGAATCGGATCCAATCAATCCCAGATGGAAATTTCTCTGCGTTCTCTTCCCTTCAGATATTGTAAGTAGCTGGCTGGCATTGATGGGCGGTGTAAATCTCGTATGCGTAACTTGTGCTCACTATCAAATTGAACATGAAAGTGCTGAAGGTTAGTGGTAGTTAGAGTGCTAACTCAGGTCATGGGGCGATCAGCTTCACGATTGCGGAGAGAGTCGCGGCAGACGTGGACAGCACGTGGCCAGTGTGACACGGTGCGCCAGTATGTGTGTCAATCAATGTGCCTGCGGGCGTGTGCGTCTGTGTGTGTGCGCGGGCGAGGGATCCAGGGCTTTGGATGGTACGTACATGTATGTGTGATCGGCCTAATCGCCTTTTTTCGGATGAGATACCGGGCATCATCATCATCATCTGCATTACCGAAAAAATAATAATAGTAAAATAATTATAAAAATAAAACACTAAACGGCATTATGCAGCTGTGTGAGCAATAGATGCACAGTGTGACTGACAACCATCTCTGTCAGATGCCTACTGGCCATTCTCTTGCATAGTCATACCAGTCCACGAAACGATAATATTGTCAGGAAAGGAAATCTTCGGACGACCACGCTTTCTCTTACCATCCACGACACCAAACATCAAGTCACGTACAAGCTCGCAGCCAGATGGGCGGCATGTGTGCCCGAAATAGGTCAGTTTGCGTATCTTGACCCTGGCTAGCAGCTGTCTCTGTACTCCCAACTCCACCAGGATACGTCCAGTTGTGCGCTTCTCCATCCAGGATACTCTGAGCAGATGTCGGTAGCACCACATCTCTGCATGCACTTATCGAAATACTGACGATCTGATCAACAGACAGTGCTCAGCTGCTAGCCAGTTTTGCAGTTTTGCAAGTTTCACTTTTTGCATGTGGAAAACCCTATAATTGTAATAGAAGTTTGGTCGATATTTCTAATCATTCTACATCTACCTTCACTGATGAGCTATGCATTAGCGAAACAGCTATCTGAAGGAATTATCAATATCGTCTACGGAACTGTCCTCACCGTGATGATGGTTGTGTGCAGTAGGGTCTAGTCGGCTAAAGAGCGCAGAGTATTTGTGGAGGCGACTCAACATTTTCTTCAATGGCCGAGAACTCTGTCGCACCCTGGAATAATATCATACGTGCGCCGTTAGGCCACCCTTTCTTTTTTCGTTGTTTAACGTCCGCGCCCGCGTACCTTTTTGCCTCCGACCGGAAAAAAAAACAAGAAAGTAGTAGTACCAATAATATGCGAAGTTGTAAATACATGATTGTGTAGTTTCACGGTGTGCCGATCATGACCTTAAACTTATAAGTTATAATCTTGCCTCCCGGGCATGCCTTTGTCTTGTGTTCTTTTTCTTTTTTTGTTGGCTTTTAAATATCATACGGTGTGTGTCCTAGTAAAAATCCAGATGTAATGAATTCATGACATGCTAACTCCATGCTATGTACCTGTTTTGTTGGATTCATCAGGCATGTGCTCCAATGTACCATCAAAGAGTGTTGTTCTATGCCTGCAAGTGCCGTTAGACCCAGATATATTGTATATATCACATGCTTTACTGGTCAAAATGTTTGATTGGGGTTTCCAGTTTTTGGAATGGGCTTTTGTTTTTTTTCCGCCCTCCCGCGTACCTTTTCGCGAAAAAAAGGACGTTAAACAATGAATTAACAAAGGGTGGCCTTAGCGTCAGAGCAAGAAAAGGGACAAGACGAGGCAAGGGACAATCCGGCGGACGCAATACCATACGACCAACTGTTTCTACCAGCGCTATTGTACCATCGACACAGCTCTGACGACGATAACACTGACATACTGGGCGAATGCCACATGACCTCCCAGCTCGTCAACGGCAGTAGGTGATGGGCACATGACGACAAAGTAGCGGGTCGTGGGGTGAGTTTGCAGGCCTTCATGGCGCTCGGACAAGTGCAATACACAGACTCTCACTAGCAGTACACCCATTCTGGCTCTTTATTTCTGCATTGATAGTCATAGTGATTGATTTTCCGCGCCGAATTTCTGACGCTGCGTGCGTGTCCCATGCGCGTCAACAGTACTTCACACTTTCCTTTTCCCGTGTTATCAGGACTTCTTCTGAAGGCTGGTAATGTTACGAGTAACGATTCCGTGGCCAAGGTGACCCGTTGTAGCGTTTCCACGGGTAGAACGCTGACATCACAGACGCTGCTGGTCTGTCACATCGGTGCAACCGTCTTGAACTACTTGAAGTCCGTGATGAAGTCCCACACCTCATGGAGGTACACACAGACTCAGTCATGCATGTATACCTGCGTCTTTTGTTGACTCACGAAAGAAATTTTAGCACTTGCTACTGGAGCTATCAGTGCGCACAGCCCGCTTCAAGACTTCATCCACTTGGGTCAGTTGCTCGAAAAGTATAATTGCTACTCTGAGGCTGAGCAACAAACGTAAATGAATAGTGAGCGGACTTTCGCCTGCCATTGCTGAGTGTGTGTTTGTCCTCCTTACGTAGTCATGAAGAACAGTGTTGTAAATTATTTCAAAGTAGAAGTCGCCTGGGTTTGGCTCGGTAAGGTAACAGTGTAAGCAGGAGATTCCGGCCGTTTGACTCATGCCCAGCGGCAGTGTGGGTGTGTGAAGCGGTAAATACTTCTGGGTGATGCTATTTACATGCTCAAAGTAGTGCGGATGTTTGAAACTTTCCTCGTTCATCAATGGCTATAACGTCAGCCGCAGCCTAGGGCCTAGGGGCCGCGGAGCTACGAGACTTTGTGTGAAGCTGCGAGACGGACGCCCAACCTGTGCATTTACGTCAATGATGGTCGATTCTGTGGCTGTCTCGGCACTCAGGTGCAACACGGTAAGATAATTTTTTTACAATCAGATGGAGCACCTTCATCCAGAACACGACCACCAATTTAAAATTTCGAAGTTAGTGAGTAGAGGCTGTCGTCACATTGCAGTACTGGTAGAGTAATTTTGTTTGTTTGTTTAGCTTTATTTTACTTCACCAGAAGCACAGGCAAAATCTGCCTTCTCACTAGGCGTATTGCCACAGTTCTCGCAAAAGGATGAAGGTGTTTCGGGCACTGAAGAACGGACTTCCAAAGGACGAACAGGCTAGGTTTCAACAAGCACACTGTACTGATTTATAGACAGTTACTCGACTGGACGTAGACCATAGTACTTGAAAGTAGGAGCGGGCTAGGCCACAAGGCTGGCCCCCAGTTCTTCCACACCCAACACTGAACAGTACTCAGCACTGAGTCTTGGCCACGCATGGAGAATTTGGTCAGTTGACCAGATGAATCATGATCAGAATGAAAACGGGAGCTAGGGAAACTGGATACTTAGGCGTAGCAAGACAAGGAAAGGTGAAAACTAAAACGACTGAGCGCGGGTATCTCACCCAGTTCTTTTCCAGATCGAGGTTATAATTGTATAATTGTATTCGTCTGCTCAAATTTCTCTCATTATCGACCCTGCTGTCTCTCTTCCTGACATCATGTGCGAGTTCTTTTCTCATGAACAAGAAGCCGACTTCATTCCAGAGTGACATGATGTGCTGTCGACTGACTTCAAAAGCAGCTGTTGACGCAACATGAGGAACAGTGCCAAACAGCTCTGACTGTAGGCTATGTAGTAGCACCCGGCAGTAGCCATACAAATCGCATAATCACTGAGGATGAATGTCCAAAAGACGTCCAAAAAACAGTCAAGATGTTCTAAAATGTCCACACTATCAAAAAATGCCTGGGGAGAGAATAGTTCCTGTGTGGGGACTCGACATGCTCACGGGAGAAGCAGAAAGGATTCTTTGAGGGTGCAGGTCTACCCTTGCTTGTAGGTAAACCCAGGGGTTTCGATATGTTTGTCTTATGACGGGTAAGATCTACTATTATATCCGGACATGAATGTACGCATTTCAGGCGTCAGGAAATGTTTGAACGTTGAATACTTAAAATGAGGTTTGTCTTGTAAACGATGTCGTACACGTACTAACGACTGTACAACTGTAGTGTGGTAACAACCTTCCTGGGGTTAAGAAAATGATGTGCTGCATCAGCAGCTGCATCAGGCACAATCATTACATTCCTTTGAGATGTTTCCAGCTGTATTCGTGAAAATTCCTGGCGGCTTGTAACTTTCCATATTATGCTCCTTGCACAGGTATATGTCAGAGAACATACTGAGCACGCTTACGCCGCACTCCTTCGATGGGCTCCGCAACCTAATCCTGCTGTAAGTGATGTTACTAACGTATATCCTATATCAGGCTCTCACATATCTTGACTTTTTATTATTATTTTTCTCACCCAATACCCCTCTACTCTGTTATCGGCCGTCTTAATAGTTGTGTTCATCACTGTTGAGGCTTCCGATGGAAAACGAGAGAGCTTGGAAGCTCATCGTGCATGTTGTGGGAACTGATGGAAATGTTTCCTGGGAAGGCGCTGACTCTGCCGAGCACGCGCGTTCTGGAGTCGACGGGATCACTCTGCCGACGTTTCCTGTGACCGGCGCTGACTCGTCCGTTCACGCCTATTTTGGAGACGACGGGATCTCTCTTCCAAAGTATGTTTTTGCTGACGCATCCTATCACCTATTCGACAACTAACATCCATTCTAATTTCATTTCCTCCTCGTCTCCTTATTTCTTTCCAGAAAGTCTCTCTATACATCAGGGAGTCGTACTGTATTGGCAGCTACCCTAACGGGTCACGCCGCCCACCACCCAAGCATGGGTATGATGAGGGACAGTGGCAACAGAAACAGAAAAAAACAGCAAGCAGGGAGAGAAAGCAAGAGAAAGACGGCGATAGTAGTACATCTGGTGTGCGACGTATAGAAAAGAGAGATGACAAGCGATGCGCACAAAATAGGAAACAATAATTATTTTTGCAGTTCCGAAACAATCAACCAGGTGATGGAGTGTGGGCACCCGAAGTCCCACCTGGACTCCACTGGAAGAACATCCCATGCCGGGATATCAGCGATAGGCCAAGCGTTGAAAAACAGCCATGAGGACACATCGTCTAGAAGTCCACCGCGCTCGAACTGAAATTGCAGGTTCAAACAATTTCCCACGCGGCGTCAGGCAGCGTAACTCTTCTCCCTGCATCACCATCCATCTCCAGCAACCGTCTCCACTCACAGCTCATGCCTCTGCCACCACTGTACTCCTCCGAGCTTCGCAGTTTGAAACCATTCGGGGGTCAGCTACACCACCGCGAATGGAGAGACGAGGACGACAACGGTCGTGACTGAAAAGACACTGCCTTGGCGACCGCGTCGCGGAACCCTCACCCCAGCAAATTCAGAAATACGCCAGGGGCAACTCTGGTGGACCCAGAGCCACCCCCTTGGCAAGACTAGTAAGAGGAACGACTGAAAACTCAGATAAAACGGAGCTACAAAAAGTGCAACCGTCCCCTTCAAGCACATATGCAACACACATGGAGTCGTATACATGTACATAATATTGTGGCCAGCTGTTTGTAGCCAGCTGTGTTTGATGGTACGGTACGGGACAGATACGGGAGCCAGCAAATGGCCAGCTGTGCGATACGGTACGGGACAGATACGGGATAGCGCCAGGCGTGACACAAACAAACAAACAAACAAACAAACAAACAAACACCAAATTAAAGCTGTGTGGACCCTGGCTAGCGCCAGACGTTACTGAAGTAACGTCTTCTGCATGGCTACGGGAATAAAAGAATACTACTGGTAGGCCCGCAAGAACCGGTCCGGTTGGTCAGGTTATTACCGGACCAACTTTTCCCCCACCAACACATGTTTCCTACTGTGGAGAGCGTACACGTATGTACCCGCCATATCATCACTAAGGCTATGTATGAAAGGCCAGAATGCTAACGGACCAATTAAAAACTGCTTCCGGCCGTCCTGCAGTACATGTTTGAAGTACCCCAGCTGAATAACTGCAATTTGGACTGACAACCCACAGTAATACCTAATTATTTCCAGGCGGTGAAGTGAGGCCAGAGGTGTCATCAGTTGAAATATGAGATGAAGGATTTGTATTTATGGTGATGGCAGCCGTCGCGAGTTTCACTAGCCAATTGAGTCACATTTCAAAGATTCTGTTTTGAATCTCTCTAATCTGCCTTGGGTAGACGCATTTGAAGATAGCTCGGCCGTGAATCAGACAATCAGAAGAGTGTGTGTGTGTTTTGTTGTGTGTATTTCTCTGTGTATCGGTGTTGAAGGTGTAATGTTGTTGGTCCCAGGGTTCACACATTTTTTTGCAGCTACGAGTGTGGCACGCGTTTTTCAAGCTCGTAGCTTTTCGTTTTTTTGGACATCCCAGCCGGCATCAGGCCGGACTGGAGATAGCTAGGTGGGTAGTAGTAGTAGTAGTAGAAATAGTGTAGGATAGTCTAGATAGTTAGGTAGGGCCAGGCAGGAACCCTTCGCCATGGGCGAGCTCTCTGCTGAGGCCGTGACGAAGCTGCTTTGCACCCTCCCGGGGATTGAGCAGGGTCTCCTTGCAGTGATGCAAACGCTGGCAAAGTTCGCGACCGAGTCTGCTGATCGCGAAGCGCGTATGAAACGCAAAATTGGTGAGCTGGCAGCGGAAGTAAAAGATTTGAAGGAAGAGTTAGTTGTTTCAAAAAACTCCGCCATTGCCTGGATGCAGTCGAAGACGACGAGAAACAGCTCACCAGTTCAAGCAGACGTACATCGTACGCAAAGTAGTACCGGTAGTACCCGTGCCAGCAAACGCAGCGCCAAGCAAGCTGCAGGTCACATGGAACCCAGCAGCACCGTATCACGTACTGGCGTCACAAGCGCGGGTCGAAAGCCCCACTGCCCCCAGGCCCGGGGAAGCGGTGGCTTGGCAAAGGCAGAGTGTTCTGAGTCACAGCCCAAGACAGATGTGACAGAGTCCAAGTCTCAGACAGATGTGACAGAGTCCAACAGCAAGCCAATCTTCCATGTTATCGAGGATGACTCATGGAAGCTTGTCTCCTCAGAACCACCCAAGAACAAGTGTGCCGTAGTGTACGTGGGCAATATCGCCACAGATAGCACTGAGAGCCACTTCAGGCAATTTATCAAAACCAGGAGTGAGTTTCTAGGCGCCTCTATTCCTGTCCACACCTGCAGTGTATGGCTGTCAGAAAGTGGGCGTGCTTCCGCCAGAGTGACCATCGATGCCACTTCATTCTCCACAGTTACAGCGCCCAACTTCTGGCCAAGACCCCTATACTGCAGGCCATGGAGGTTCTCTGAAACCAGCTCTGAGGGCAGCACCAGCAGTCGCTGCCACAGTAGCAGAAACAGCACCTCTACCAGTGTTCTGACTAAACAGCAACAGCAACAACAGCAGCAGGGCTCAACCTCCTCCCCGCCGCCACCGCCGCCACCACCGCCGCCACCACCACCGGCAGACATCATCTCCACTCCACTGCCTGGTGGCCAAAAACGGAGAAACTCCCACCTCTCCCCACCAGAGGCTGGAGACCTGAAGAGATCAAACGGATCTGCGCCACAACATGACCTACATGGTCACCAATGAAGCGCTTCCTCAGGCTCCTACTCACCAATGCTTTTGGCCTAAAGTCAAAGCTTGGTGAACTTGCACATGTTGCAAAGTGCTCCTCACCTGATGTCATCGCTGTTACGGAGACAAAATTCTCAACCGCAAAGGTCACTGACAGTGAGGTCTGTCTGTCCGGATACGCTCCCCCAATCCGACATGACAGAAACGCTCATGGAGGCGGAATTGCCATCTGGGTGAAATCAAACATGGCCTTCCAGCACCTGGACCGGTTCAGCACGGAACACCACGAAGTGATATGGATATCTGTATCAACAGCTAGCCGGTCCAAGATTGTTATCTGTGCACTCTACCGATCAGGCTCCACAGCCGGGACAGACACCAAGCTGATCGAATACCTTGATACCCACCTAGATGAGGCCCGCAGCCACGGTGACTATGTTATCCTCGCAGGGGACTTCAATGTCCACAATGCAGCATGGCTAGGGAGCACCAAGACTACCTCGGCAGGAGAAGCAGCCGAGGAACTCTGCTATGTTCATGGCCTGGAGCAACATGTCAACATCCCCACACGTGGAGACAACACCCTGGACCTTGTGATGTCTGACTTTAGTGAATCGGTTCACGTGAAATGCCATGCCCCACTGGGGTCCTCTGACCACGCTGTCCTCACCATGGACTTCCCTATCTCTGCGTTCCGTGAACCAAAAACCACACGCACTGTCTGGCGGTACAACCAAGCAGACTGGAACCGCCTCTGTCACTTTTTCCTAGCCTATGACTGGTCAACTGCCTTCACCACCAGCGCTGATGAGTCGTGCGCCAACATCACCGAAGTTATCCTCCAGGGTATGTCACGTTTCATCCCATCCCGGCAACTCACATCCCGGCCGACGGATCCAGCTTGGTGGACCCCTGAGTGCACGGATGCCATAAAAGCAAAAGAGAGGGCTTGGGCTACTGCCAGACGGCAGAAGTCAACAGCAGCGCGGCAGACAGCCTCAGCAGCCACTCTACGTTGTAATGACATCCTCCAGCATGCCAAGGTGGCCCGCCTGGCTACCCTGCGTACTAAGCTCTTCAAAGCTAGCCTGAGTAACCGCTCGTGGTGGTCTACCATCAAGCAAGCAGGTGGCAGCAGCAGAAACACGTCCATCCCAACTCTCACGCCGCAGCCTGGTTTGGAATGCGTATCGAATGCCGAAAAAGCTGAGTGTTTTGGGCAGTATTTCGCCTCAAAGTGCAGCCTGGGCGCCGACGACTTCCCCGCCAACCAACCAGCGACTGATTTCTCCCACGTTGCTCAGCGCACGGCTGAAAAGCTCTCAACGGTTCGGTTCCGCCCTGCCACTGTCAAGAGAGAACTCCGGCGCCTAAATGCATCGAAAGCTACTGGACCGGATTGCATTCCCGCGCGAGTTCTGAAGATGTGTGCCGACCCCCTAAGTAAGCCACTCTCCAAACTGTTCTCCCTTAGCTTCTACAGCATGGTTATGCCGACATCCTGGAAGACAGCTAGAGTCACACCCATTCACAAGAAGAAATCCAAGAACCTGCCTCAACACTACAGACCTGTGTCTCTGCTGTCTATCATATCCAAAGTGATGGAAACAATTGTCAATCGTCAGATAACCAGTTTCGTGGAATCCCACAATGTCATCTCTGCGAAACAGTTCGGGTTCAGAAAGGGCCTGAGCACAGCCGACGTCTTAACCAAGCTCCACTGTGAATGGTCCCGAGCAGCCGGCCTAGGAGGAGCCGCCCATGTTTTGGCGATAGCCATAGCAGGCGCCTTTGATAAAGTCAGCCATGCTGGCCTGCTGCATAAGGCTTCCGTGTACGGTCTAGACAGCCCGCTTCTCGGATGGCTGGAAAGCTACCTGCACAACCGGCGCCTGCAGGCTGTTGTGGGCGGCCAAGAGTCCTCCCTGCACCATATCCAAGCAGGGGTACCACAAGGTAGCATCCTTGGACCAACGTTATTCCTCCTGTACGTAAATGACTGTGGAAGGTCACCTTCGAGCCATCCAAATCTCAGGCCCTCATCATCGACCACCGCAAGCCTCCCCCAGAGTTCCCACCAGTGCTCTTCAATGGAGTGACTGTTCCTGAAGAGAAGGAAATTAAACTTCGGGGCATAGCATTCGACTCGCAACTGTCCTACGCAGCACACCTCCGGGCCGTGGCCTCAAAGGCTGCCCAACGCCTACACTTCCTGAGAAAGGTTGCGCCCCTGTTGGACTCCAGCGGCCGCACGGCAGTCTACAAAGGCTTCGTGCGGCCAACAATGGAATACTGCTTCCTGGTGTGGATGGGGTCAGGTACATCCAGACTGGACAAAATCCAGCACAAGGCACTGAAGGTGATTGGCCCAGGCGCCTGGCTCCCCAGCCTGAAACACCGCCGACTGGTTGCTGCGTTTTCGTTCACGTTCAAGCTGTCTTACCTTCCAACAACAAGCCCCCTGAAGCCCATCCTCCCACCTCCAGCCAATCCCCGCCCAGTGGGTGGTCGATCCACTAGGTTAGCCACGGAGACTGCCCACTGCCACCCGCTCCAGCTCAAGTCGACGCTGGCCGTGCGCATTCGTAGCAGCCTCCAGGGTTCCTACCCAGACTGCATCATTCCCTTGTGGAACAGCCTACCAGCGACCATTCTACCAGCACGGCCGCAACCCAGCCAGCTCCAATCATTCAAGGAAAAATGCAACAAGTATCTACTGCACCTGAACTGGCAAGCAGCCACCGACGCCCTATGAAACGGTTTAGACTAGTGCCTCACTAGCATCCTCCCCCCCCCCTTACCACAATGTGACGTTATCTTTCACTCTGCTTCTCTCACGACCATGTACCCATTGTCCTTGTTTCTCACTATTATTCATTTCCCACCTTCCTCCCCTCTACATGGTTTTACTGCATTATGGCGCGCTTTGTCTGCGTAGACGCCGAGACCTTTGAGGTCGGCTGAGCAGCCTGGCCCCGCCACCACTTCTCGCACATATTCGGGAATATAGTGGACTTTCGTATAAAAAAAAATATATATATATATATATATCGCGCAATGCCCGCTACATTTTGTAGTTTGAGCACTCTGGCGCTAGAGCGACGAGCTACCTTAATGTCTGTGGTGCCTCCTTTGCACCATGGCTGGTAGCTCGGCCTATTTAGCTCGTAGCTGTACTGATGAGGCCTTTATGGCCGAAACAGCTTGCTGTCTACAGCATTGGGTATATATATATATATATACTGTTGTGAATTCCAGCAGAAATCCAAGAGAGTTCGATACCGGGAAGGTAGAGCCGTGACACACTAGTCAGAACAACAGATGGCTTGATCAGTCACAACTTAAAGTTTCATGCCATCTCAGGCACTCATCAGGTGATATGAACATCAAGAAAAATAACCCACTATTTAAAGCCCAGTATGGCGGGACAAGGATAACAGAAAGCGCTAGGGGCGCTATCAACTCATATCCGATTCAGTGTCATAGCCAGTAAGGATCGCGGTACTAAGGTGATAAAGGATAAAGGTGATAAAACTGAGCTGGCCTAGCTAGTGAGTTCCGCGGTGCAAAGATGATGATGGTGACAAGGCGGCAGAGAGCTATCAACTGGCCCTACAGCCTGGAAGCAGGGTGCCGAGAAGATCATGTTATCGGTGTTGACAGCATGAATTTATTTTGATGTCGACATTTGGATATCAACTCCGACCGCTTGTTGAGGCTCGATCTCCTGTCGGCAGTGATTATTCTCGCCTTCTCCTCGAGGCACAGGCTGCATCTTTTTGTTATGTTGCTGTAGGCCTTGGCCTTCTGGACCACTCGCCACTTGATGTCGTGCGTCTTGCCATTATCTTTTAATTCCCACACATGCTTTGAGAGGCCCGTGGATTTGCGGTATCCAGGAAGCTTGATGGATGTCTTGTGGTTCCCGTATCGAAGCTTGAATGGAGGCTCCGTACTGCCAATGTAGGTTTTGGGCCCATCGCTGTGGCCATCACTCGACACCTCCGCCGCGTAGACTATGCTGGTTGCTTGGCACGCTCCGTTGAGAGGGCACTGGTCCTTGCGACGGCAGTTGCACGGCTTGTCCGGTTCCTGGACGCACAATTGACGCTTATTGTGGCCACTGATAATGTGGGCCATATTCGGCAAACAGGAGTAGCTCACCTTCACATTGAAGCGGTTGAAGATTTTGTTCATTTTGGACCCCTTAGGAAAATGCTTGTCGATCAGCCGGAGGAAGGTGCCGGCGATGTTGGTCCGGACACTCTTGGAGTATGGCGGGTTAAACCACACCACATTCCGTTTCCTTTTTCTTTTTTGCTTGCTGCCGTTCATTGCAGCAGGTGGCGTTGGGTCAATGTACTTGATGTTGGCAGGTAATCCGCTGGCCGCTAATGCATTGCGATATGCAGGGGCAGCATCGGCGAATACGCCGCTGTCGGCAGATATGCTTGAGACACGTCAAGCGATCATATCAGGCACCCTGCCTCCAGGCAGTAGGGCCAGTTGATAGCTCTCTGCCGCCTTGTCACCATCATCATCTTTGCACCGCGGAACTCACTAGCTAGGCCAGCTCAGTTTTATCACCTTTATCCTTTATCACCTTAGTACCGCGATCCTTACTGGCTATGACACTGAATCGGATATGAGTTGATAGCGCCCCTAGCGCTTTCTGTTATCCTTGTCCCGCCATACTGGGCTTTAAATAGTGGGTTATTTTTCTTGATGTTCATATCACCTGATGAGTGCCTGAGATGGCATGAAACTTTAAGTTGTGACTGATCAAGCCATCTGTTGTTCTGACTAGTGTATATGTATAGATTATAGACCGGTTAGGAGGTCTATACAGGATATTTAGACCGAGTAAAAGACCGAGGTCCCCCGAGGTCTTTTACGAGGTCTATATATCCTGTATAGACCAACTATGAGGTCTATAATCTATTTATCGTGTTCTCCACGCAATGGCTTCTCTTCATATACGACATATCCTTGTAATTCTAGTATTATACTATAGCCTATACCGCATTGTACTGCATTGAAAGTCAAGATCATTGTTTAAACTAGGTTCAGCATCGGTAGCACAGTGGCTGGGTGGTAAGGAAGAGTGACTGAGATTCACAAGGCTGTGGGTTCAAATCCCACCTTGTGTATTTCTGCTTTCTTCAAAAATTTCTTTTTCTAAGTTGGAGAGAAAATTTCTAAGTCCAAGAAGTTCTAAGGAGTCAAATATAAGTAGTCAAATATATCGCGTATTTGACTAAGCAGTCAAATACGCGATATATTTGACCGCTTAGGTATCAGGGAAATTAGTGGGGTCAAATACTAAGAAGGCGATAAATATATATATAATATCGCAGATTGTGTATATCTATATATATATATATATATACTTTCTCTTTGAAGTACACATACCTGTTAACCATAGACTGCTTCTCGCTAGATTAACTCTTGTGTAATCAATGCTGCTAGTGAAGCTGATATCAGATCCACTCTGATTTAGCCACCCACACTAGTAACGAGTATTACCTTCACTGGGGGCAGGGTAACTGCAGTTGGATCCATGGACGGATACCCTGATGCAATCAATTATTCTCCTGCACCTTGTCCTTGCCCACTTACTGAGATGTGGTGAGCCCATAGGTGTGATCATTTCCAAGTCCACCCAGAGTTTTGGGGATTTCAGGGGGTGTCGGCGTTGGGCGGTTCAATAGCCCATTGAGTCGTCTTTCCAAGACTCCTTTTGAGTCTCTCTGCCCTCTCCCGGGGAGAACCAACGTTGGCAGTGAGCAACAAGTTCAAGCATGTATATATGTGTGTGTGCGCGTGCGCGTGTGGTCATGTATGTGGGCGTGGAGGTGGAATGTGCATTTCTGTGTGCATATGTACATTTTCTTGTGTGTAAAAACCAATGATTTTAGCAACCTGGACAGGAACAGCCTGACAGAGCTATTGCCAGGACAATTCAGTGACCTCGCAAGTTTGAGAACCCTGTAAGTAGCTTGGAGACCACACATAACGCTCCAAGTGCTGATTTTTATGACAGGTAGACTCACTGTGCTATTCCATCTGCAATTACCAGCCATTTCACCACTCACGGACACACCCACATTCATATAACTTAGTATTGGGCCAGTGAAAACAAAAATCGTGCACATTTATCCATAGACTTTAGTACCAAGTGAAGCACGACCGTTGGGTATGTAAAATAACCTTGCGATCTCTATAATTTCCAGATCATGTTTTCATTGCTCTTTCAAACACAGGACATTGAAAGAGAATAGGCTGGCTGTACTACACAATACTAGCTTCGCGGGCCTTGGCGAACTCAGGACTCTGTAAGTGCTCAGTATGTTCATGTTTCTGCTGCTTCTTTCATCGATCATGCTGGCATCATGCTGCCACCATAGCCTCTGCTGTTGACCACTTTTTTTTCTGTTTTAAAAACATATGAATGCTTTTGTTATCTTATCTTGGTGGAGTTGACCCCGCCACATGTGGATCGCTTGCCGAAATTTGAAGAGATGAGTGAGGATTCGGACGCCACATGGCGACTCATCACCTCCACCAAACCCACAGCGAAGAAGAGAGTCCTGTTTGTCGGAAATCTGATGCATGCAATTACTGCAGACCAGCTGAAGGAGTTCATCGCAGCAAGAGCAGCTGAGGCTGACCACAATGTCCAAGTGTTTGACGTAAAAATATTTCAAAAAGAAAAATCCTCCACTGCGCGTATTGTTGCCAGTGCAGCGGACGAATCGTTTCTCAGCAAAAAGCGCTTCTGGCCAAGGCCTGTGTACACAAGAGAGTGGAACTTCGATAAGTACACCCAGTCTGATGCCAGTGGAGATCAACAAACAGCGCAGAGCAGCACCACGACCACCAACAGCAGCAGCAGCCGAATGGACGGCAGTAAGAGCGGATACGGCGTGGATTGCGATATCCTAGATGACACCTGTGGAGCACCGGCCCGGACTCCAGGCCAGAAATCACGGGGCTATCAGCGTGACTCGCCGCCCGAGACGCAAGCTGCGAAGTTTAGTGTCACTGTTGGCAACGCATTTGCATCTCTAAGTCAGGATGTGGATGATATATCTGTGCAATGACTGGAAGAAGATTAGGCAACGACCCTGCTGCTCATGAACTGAATATGCAAACGCAAACTCCAACAATTCGAATTTTACTGCTGAACATTAGGAGCCTGAGGAACAAAGTTGGAGAGCTGGCATGGCTTGCCGACCTTCACAGTCCTGACATCATCTGTGTAAACGAGACCTGGCTAGACGACACCGTGTCTGATGGAGAGATAGCTTTGGATGGCTTCAACATACTGCGATCAGACAGAAAAGATCAGGCCGGTGGAGGAGTCTGCCTGTACTCCAAGGCGTCCTTCCTGGTCAAGCCAAGAATGGACCTCACAGAATCGGCAATTGAGAGCTGCTGGGGAGAAATCCATTGCCAATCTGGAACTTGTTTGATAGGAACCATTTATCGACCTCCATCTGAGCCAGTTCGATACTGGGACTGCCTGGACGACCACCTCCATTCAGCTATAATGCCCGGGAAGAACGTGATTATTTGTGGCGACATCAACATAAACACCAATCCAACAGCACCTCCAGATCCACAGCTTCATTATCTATCTGACCTCGTGGCCAGCTACAGTTTATATCCCGGAGTTCACCAGCCGACTCGGTTCTCAGCAAACTCTGCACCAACCACACTGGATCAATTTTACAATACATTCGACCCTCTAAATATGGCTACTGTTATCCCCATCGCGTTCAGTGACCATGCAGCAGTTCTCAGTGAATTTCAACTCAGCCCAGTAAGAAGTACTGTAACTTCTGGGCTACGGCGACACTACCGAAACATAAATCATGACCAGTTCAAGGCAGATTTGGTCCAACAGGATTTTTGTGAAATTGACGGAAGCCCAACTGTCATGTGGACTGAGTGGGCCAGCCGCTTTCTACAAGTGTTAGACAGACATGCTCCTCTTGCACCAAGCCCTCGACGCAAGAAAAAATCAGTACCATGGATGAACCGCCAGTTATTACACCTCTTGACCAAGCGCAACCGGCTCCATAGGAGGTGGCTTAGTGATGGAACAGAACATTCCCACTCAGCTTTCAAGGCTGCCAGGCGGGAAGCTACCAGCTATAATAGGCAACAGAAAGAGACCTACTACCAATCCAAGTTTCGAGCTGCGTCTGGCAATACCAAACAGACATGGCACACGATCAAAGAATTGAGTGGTAAACATCGACAATCTCAGCCACCTCAATGTTCTGTTGATGCCATCCGAAACACCTTTGCAGAGATAGTAGAGGACGCCAGCCGCCCAGTGCATCTCTCATTTCCCTACGGGCCCGCCTCAAGCACTGATCTGACAGCCTTTGCGCCAGTGTCTATTGCCAGAGTGAGGAAGCTCCTCGAACGTTTAAATCCGGCCAAGTCCAGCGGTGATGATTGTTGTGGTTTGCAATCAACAACCACTGATATACAATCTGTATTGTTTTACGCACGCGTCCTGTCAACCGCGGGCTTCCGACTGTGTTGTGGTTTGTTAGCTAAGTGAACAATCAATCTAGCGTACAATGAATCCCGTACGATTTGAACTGCCCTGTACATAGTACGTGCATGTAGCTTGCTGTTATGTTCCGGAGTCTTCTGGATTTATCACCTCGTGTTCTTGTAAATAAAGTCAGTTGCGATCTGAGTGATCTCGAGAGTAGACTGGAGTTTTAGGTGCGTTCTCGGAACGCAACATGGTGTCAGAAGTCTGATTTGGAACCTGTAGTACACCGACCACGATGTCGTCCGCCAAGTTTCCCCTGCCAGACTCCTTCGACTTCAGTTCTCCCCAGTCGTGGCCACAGTGGACCAAACGGTTCGAGCGCTTTCGGTCCCTCTCCAAGTTGGATCAGGATGATGAAACCCGTCAAATTAGCACTTTGTTGTATGCCATGGGTGCCGAGGCCGACAACATCTTTGATGCTCTCCCGCTGACGGACGACACCAGGAAAAAGTACGACTCCGTCACGGCAGCTCTGGACAAATACTTCACACCGGCCGTGAACGTCATCCACCAGAGAACAATATTTGAGCAAACAACGCAGCATCCCGGAGAGTCCGTGGAGGAGTTCGTCCGCCGCCTCCGCGCTGCAGCTAAATATTGTGCCTTCGACAAGCCCGACGAACGGATCAGGGACAGGTTCGTCGCGCATATGACGGACAGAGCCGTCTCGAAGCAGTTACAACTGAAAGACCACACATCTTTGACGCTCGCCGATGCTATTGCCTCTGCCCGGAAAACCGAGTCCGTCAACAAAGAGCTGGCACTACAAGCACCCATGAACCTCGCCGCGGCTGCTTACACACCCCGACAACCACAAGACTGGCGTCCTCCCGTCAAACAAGGGCCATCCAAGCCATCTCCGTCCAGCCAAGCACGGTACTCCAGAGATTCAACTGTCCATAAGTGTCGTTGGTGTGGCTTGTCGACTGATCATAAATCAGACCGCGCGCGCTGCCCTGCTCAATCACAGAAGTGCCGCACTTGTGGCAAGCTGGGCCACTTCGCCACAGTATGCAGATCTGCCACCAGTACCGCTGCTCACACTGTCGACCTGCTGGATGCAAATGACGTCGACACCATTTTCATGGGAGCAGCCACAGAGCAGAGTCACTCTGGGAGTGCTGCCTCCAGCTCCAGCCAGCCCAGGTCTGAGCCATGGATGATCACACTGGACATGTGTGGCACCAGCACCCCATTCAAGATCGACACAGGAGCAGATCTGTCTATCATGACCCTGGATAGCTACCAAGCCCTGCCATCGCCACCAGCCATTGACCCATGCGTTTCACGCCTGGTGGGCCCCGACGGCAAGACGCTCCCCGTCCAGGGCCAGTTCACAACCACCGCCAAGCTGCAGGATGCCAGCTATGACATGGCTATTGTCGTCATTGCCAGCGGCACCGTCAATCTCCTCAGCCGTGACCAGTCGAGCCGCATGGGGCTTATCCAACGACCACAGGCCTGTTCTACGGAGGTGCGCCCCACGATCGGCAGCATACTTGGGGACCCTGTCGCGATCGTCCTCAAGGAACCCGCTAAGCCGTACAACTGCGTCACAGCCCGGCGCATTCCGCTTCCAATCCGAGCCAAAGTCCACAGTGAACTGGACCGCATGGAGGCTGCGGGCGTCATTGAGCGCGTGGAGAAACCTACCGACTGGTGTGCGCCAGTGGCCTCAGTCATTAAACCGAACGGATCTGTTCGTGTCTGCGTGGATTTGAAGAAGCCTCCTGAGCCGCTTCAGCCAACCGACTTCCCCTCCTTGCCATGGGAGAGGGTAGGAGTGGACATCCTAACGCACAACGGCACGGAACGTCTCGTCGTAGTGGACCATTTCTCCCGCTACCTTCACGCCCCGGTGCTGCGGTCCACAACGACAAGTGCGGTCATCAAGGCACTGTCTGCGGTATTTGCCATCCATGGAGTTCCGCAAACCGTCGTTTCAGACAACGGGCCACAGTTTGCGAGTGCGGAGTTCGAAGCGTTTGCTGCAAAAAGCAAGTTCACCCACCGCACCAGCAGTCCCCGCTTTTCCCAGAGCAGCGGCGAAGCAGAGCGGGCGGTCAGAACTGTAAAGCGTCTCCTCGAATCCAACCAGCATCCGGACGAAGCCTTGCTGGCATACCGCTCTACACCTCTCGCGAACGGCTTCTCTCCAGCAGAGCTACTCTTTGGACGCCGACTGCGAACGAACCTCCCAGTATCCGACACGGCACTCACCCCGAGCGGGCCCGATCTCCCAGCACTTCAGCAGTGGGAGGCCAAGAGTAAAGAGCAACAGTGTGCAACATTCAATGCTGCTCGCCGTACGCAAGAGCTCCCTGTCCTACAGCAAGGGACATCTGTCTGGGTGTCCGACCTCAAGGCTGAGGCGGTAGTAGCTGATCGCCTGTCTGATCGGTCGTACAGTGTCGTCACGGCTGACCTGTCGCGCTACCGCAGGAATCGCCGTCACCTGGCCGTGCTGCCCAGCTCAACGCCGCGCCAAACTCCTCAGCCGGAGGAATGTGTACCTGAGCCGAGGATGGTCGAAGTTGAGCGGAACAACCAGGGCCCAACCGAGCCCCAGCCAACCCTGCGGCGATCCAGCCGCGTAAGCCAACCAACCGTTCGGCTTGACTTGTAACAATCTTACCCACAATCCTGACTATTGATAGTCTCTTCTATTCTACTGTCGTGCATTAGTCACTCCTCACTCTTCTATGTAGCTGTGCCTCTGCTCTCAAGAAAAAGGGAGATGTTGTGGTTTGCAATCAACAACCACTGATATACAATCTGTATTGTTTTACGCACGCGTCCTGTCAACCGCGGGCTTCCGACTGTGTTGTGGTTTGTTAGCTAAGTGAACAATCAATCTAGCGTACAATGAATCCCGTACGATTTGAACTGCCCTGTACATAGTACGTGCATGTAGCTTGCTGTTATGTTCCGGAGTCTTCTGGATTTATCACCTCGTGTTCTTGTAAATAAAGTCAGTTGCGATCTGAGTGATCTCGAGAGTAGACTGGAGTTTTAGGTACGTTCTCGGAACGCAACAATGATGACATTTCTGCAGCCCTTCTCCGCGCACATGCAGACGTACTGGCGCCATCCCTGACTTTGATCTTTAACAAGTCCCTGAGAGAGGGCATATTTCCTGCCCAGATGAAAAGTGCTAGGATATCGCCACTCTTCAAAGGCGGAGATCCGAGCATGCCAAAGAATCATCGACCAGTGTCCTTGTTATCGATTGCATCCAAAGTGTTGGAAAGGATAGTCCACGAGCAACTCACACGATATCTAGTCCAGAGCAATTTATTCCCGCCAACTCATTTCGGCTACAGATCCCACCACTCTACATCCGACGCACTAGTGCTAGCTGTGGAAGGTATCTGTGAGGCCCGTATGAACAGACTCAACACAGGTGTAGCCTTTGTTGATATGTCAAAGGCATTCGATAAAGTGAAACATCAAACTCTTGTGCAAGATCTGTTCGAACTTGGCATCTGCGACACGGCACTCTGTTGGCTGGTGGATTACCTCTCTGATAGAGAACAGTACGTTCAGGTTGGCCAGACTAGAAGTCTCCCGTACACCAGTTACTCAGGTGTCCCCCAGGGGTCGGTACTGGGCCCACTGCTATTTATTGTCTATGCCCGCGGCATAGCAGAAGAACTATCGCCGTTTAATGTGGGAGCAATCCAGTTTGCTGATGACATCTCTATACGATGTAGCAGGGAGTCTGCGGAAGCTGTTTCTGCACACCTTTCAGCTGCTGTTCAGCACCTGGCCACCTGGCTGAAGGGCCGTGGTTTAATTCTTAATGAAAGAAAGACACAGATATTGCCTATTCCCCCATCCCCATCTCAAGCACTTGAGCTGCATGTCATTTGTAATGGGCAGACGCTGCCTGTTGTGAAAACGGCCAAGTATCTTGGCCTACATTTCGACTCAGACATGAGCTGGAACACCATGACAAGCCATGTTGCACGCCGCGTTGCCGCTAAGATTGGGCTACTAAATCGAAGTGCAGCATGTTTGCCTTTTTCTTGCCGTGTTCAGTTTTTCAGGTCCTTTATACTATCAGAATTTGACTATGCATCTGCTGCCTATGCCCCTTTCTTATCGTCTTATCAGGATAAGCGCCTAAATAGTTTGTTCAAACGTGCGGCTCGCTCGGTGTGCAGGGCAGCCCCTCGCACTCACACGGCTCCCTTACTTGAACGCATGAATGCCCATACCCTCAGCATATACACCCACATGCACATCCTTGTATTCATTTGGCGCTGCCTGAACAAATCTTCAAGTACTCTGTTTGCAAGCTTTTTCACCCGTAGTCCCTCTCTCCGAACACGAGGAGGGAACAGCAAGTTACTCATCATTCCTGTCTCCCCCACTGCATCCTCAGCTAAGCGCATTAGCCATGCTGGAGCTATCCTGTGGAACCAGCTCCCAGACACAGCACGCCTCGAAAGAAAGCGCTCCACTTTCAAATCGCTAAGCCTGGCCTTTCTGTTAGGCAGTACCGTCAACTAGGATGAACTCATCTGCTTCACTACCTCTCTCTCTCTCTCTCTCTCTCTCTCTCTCTCTCTCTCTCTCTCTCTCTCTCTCTCTCTCTCTCTCTCTCTATCTCTCTCTCTCTCTCTCTCTCTCTCTCTCTCTCTCTCTCTCTCTCTCTCTCTCTCTCTCTCTCACTCACTCCTTTCGTCCCGGTTGCCGTGCTTGTGACTTTTTTTCCCCTGCTGCCGTGCTCATATTAGTTATCTAACTACAGCTGTATCTTCTTCTTGGTTCTGTTTGTCCGCTTATTATTATATTTTCTTTTCTCTTATTATCAGTGGGACCATTGTCATTAGGTTTAGGCCTGTTTTGGAACTCCACTTTAAATAAAGCCAAACAAACAACACACAAGGTTCATTGCTTCTTTCCGAATCCATTTTTTTATTAGGGTAACGACAAGGGCAGGATTGCCCGTTTGAACAAGGGCGTGGATTACGGTATTGAAAAGATGGGAAAATTGACTACAGTCAAGAGGCTAAGAAACCCATAGCAGTTTCCTATTCGGCTTCCAGATACACATAATTTATTGTAGAAATTGATCTGTCATGTTAGCAACGTGCCTTGATCAGGGATGTGAGTAGAGAATGTGTATATCACAGATAATCATGGAAAGTTTGAATGAAAATTAATGTCAGATTCTACTTGAGCATATTCCTTGCACTTGGAGATTCTGTCAAGCATAGAGAATCATATTTCCAGAACTATGTATTTTTAAGGAATGATTCACAACAGAACAACAAGGACAATCAAGGCTTGTTTGCTGCTACTTCAAGTTTCATGCTCACGAAATCATCAGGCAACATGAAGATTGGGTGCCGACCATCCCGGTATATATGCCAGGAGAGGGTGGTATAAAAAGCTGTGTGAGAATGTAAGGAATGTAAGGAATGATTCAAAACAGCAAAAATCTTGACTGAGAATTTTCAGCCTTCCTGTTCACCTCATGGAGATTGTCGTTATCATGCATTTACTCCCTGATTTTCTCAGAAGCACGCTGGTAGTTAAATTTACCGTCCTGTTCATCCTCCCCAGAGCATTTCAGTTGAATTCCAGCCTCTCATTACTATGTCATGCGGGTTTCTGTCTGTCTATTAGAAATCTCGCGGATAACAATCTCTCAAGCTTTCCATCAGGAATCTTCGAGAGCCTCGGAAAACTGGAAGTATTGTAGGTTGTTGTTGTTGCTGTTGTTGATTTTTATTTTGGCCTTCGCAGGTTATGCTGCATATATGATAATGAATATCTCTCCAGAGGGTGGATTAACCGCCAATGTATGTATGTGTGTATTTATGTATGTATGTAAATTGTGCAGATTGAGTATGTATGTATGTATGTATGTACCCAATGCTGTAGACAGCAAGCTGTTTCGGCCATAAAGGCCTCATCAGTACAGCTACGAGCTAAATAGGCCGAGTTACCAGCCATGGTGCAAAGGAGGCACCACAGACATTAAGGTAGCTCGTCGCTCTAGCGCCAGAGTGCTCAAACTACAAAAAGTAGTGGGCATTGCGCGATGCAGCAGCACTAGAGCAGCCTACTGAGAGTGCTCAAATGTATGTATGTATGTATTTGTGAACTCTCGCTATTATGTATGTATGTACGTATGTACTCAATCTGCGGACAGAACTGTTTTGTCCTTTGTGGACTCATCAGCGCAGCACAGAGAAAAAGAGGCCGAAACTGATAGCAATGAAAAATAATTTTCCAAAGCCAGATTTAAACCAGGCCGGAACGTACCTTGAACAGTCATGCTGGTCCAAGCAGAGTGTATACGTCAGTACTGCAGTGATGTAATGGTTTTTGTGGTTACCAGTATAGGAGGCTTTAAGAGAATACGTACAAATAGGACACCAAAGTAGATGTACAGACTCCTGCACGAGTACAAGGGTAGTACCACAGAATCTAGGCCGCACCGCGATAGCGGCAGGGGCTGGATGAACAGCGGTACTGCCCGAGTATGAGTGAATGGAACGTGTTTCCCATGTGTAGCCAAGCCGAAGAGCTTTCATGCACGCGCACACCATACAATCATGTACTGAACTCGCTCTTTCCGTTGTCCTTGTATTCACGAAACACACACCAAGTTCGTGAGCCAATGAACGCAGTGGATTCCGTTCCTGCCCGTCGTCACTTGGAATCCGTTAACATTTCTGCCCGTCGTCACTTGACGATGGTCAGTGGATCCAGTTACATCACCTTTGAGCAGGCAGAACCGTGCTTTCAAGCGCGCGTAGTTTGACCTGTCGTTGGTCGACTCCAAGGCGACAATCACGTGACATACGGGAACATATTTTCTCTCTCTCTCGGTGTGTCTCTCTGTCTCTGTCTCCCTGTCTCTCTGTCTCTCTCTCTTTCTCTCTTGTCACACAGGACATTGACATCAAACAAGCTGGTGGTGCTAAACAATGACAGTTTCTCAGGCCTTGATAGACTAAGGGTTCTGTAAGTTTCCCTGAGATAAATGCTGCCTATGCTTCTACTCCTGCTGCTGATGCTACTATTCTTGCTCCTGCTAGTGGTGAAGCTGCTGCTGCTATCCCTGCTGCTATCCCTGCTGCTATTCCTCCTCCTCCTGCTTCTGCGGCTACTGCTGTATACTTGCCAACCAAACCGAATTCACAGGAAGTGTTACGAAGTCTGTAGAAAATGTCGAACGGTCTCTGCTGGGATGACAGCTATACCATAGCTCAATGGTTAGTGCATCGCTGGCTATAAACGAGGGTCCCTGGTTCAAGTTCTTGTGATGACAGTCAATTTTTTTCTTCAGACTTTTCCCGTTTGTGTCTTTCCCTCAAACCAGTGAACATTGCTTATGACTGTGTCTTTTGCTTTGTTAGGTAGCTTACGACTAGCACAATCTCCTGTCTGCCATCTGGAATCTTTGATAGGCTTGGCAAGCTGGAATTATTGAAGGTTTATTACGTTCAGGTGAACGTAGGGTTCCGTGCAGTTTCAATGTCATTAATTGTACTCTACAGTCCTCTACTCAAAACTGAACTTAATCGCTTTGTTTGTACCAAAAAACAGGGTCAACAGTCGCGCTCTTTTATCAAAGTATAAACATTACAAGCCATTGTGGAATGATCGTCATGGATGAAGGTTTTTAAGTGTAACATGCTGAAACTCAGATCTCCTCCATAATTATGGTCATTCTTCATCCCACAGTTGATTTTTCACGAACTTTTGCATGTGACTTGTGTTATTTTCTGTGTTAGGTATCTTGCAAGTAACACTATCTCACGTCTGCCATCAGGAATCTTCGACGGACTTGGCGAGCTGGAACTATTGTATGTTTATTGATACAGGTGTTAGTAGTGTACCCATCCAGTTTCAATGTCATTACGTTCGATTAGCGCCCCTGGGGCTCTGTTTTCCTTCATATCCACAGACGAAGCACTATTCAAGAGAGGGCACTGTTTTCAATGCTGGTACATTTACATCATCCAGCTTAAAACAAAGCAAAACAGAGCTTAAAGTTTACTGTAAACGATCACGACTCGACCGAAACGACAGAACTGCGCCTTTGATCAAGTAACCACGAGTGCAATGACATGGACAAGCAAATTAGCTAAAGAACACCAACCTCGCACATGCGCTTGGTTACAAGCTCGGGGAGGGGGGGGGCACTACTCAAGAGAGGGCTTATTCTTTCATTGCCTCTTAGAGACTGGAGCAATGTTCGGGATAGGGCATTATTCAGGCTCTAATCGCGTGAGTACGGCAAATGTACTCAACAGTCGTCTAGTGAAAACCGAAAAATCGCTTTGTTTTGGACAAATAGAGGGTCAGCAGTTGAGCTCATTTCTCAAAGCCTAGTCATTACAAGCCATTGTGGACTGACTTTCCACGCCTCAGGTTTTCAAACAAAATCATACCACATAGGGCGATAGTTATTTGTAGGGCACGTTTTCACAATTATTAGCCAGGTTTCGTCTCGATATGCACATGGATTTGGTAGTCCACAACCCATTTCTGATGTACGCGGATGAATTCTTTTTTAAACATTTTAACTACTGATATGTGAATGCACATCTTCCTCCTTGAACCATTGGCAGTGTAAACGTACACACACACAAACACACACACACACACAGTGTAACAAGTACACACGTACACACACATGTGCATACACGCACGTGCACACAGACACAGACACACACACACACACACACACACACACACATGCACATATGCACATGCAATCGTCCGCACACACGTACACACACACACAGACACACACAGACACATACACACAAGGAGATAATTGTCACTATGTACATGTATATAATATAATTATCTCAACAGTAAATAGGCACACTGGAGAGCGATGACTTCACTACGTGGGTACCGTGAGTTTAGATGAGTGGTCATGGAAACTCGGAAAGTGTCCACATTGTACAGTAACAATAATAACTGGCATAAATTGGAGGCAGTTCTTTAAAAAATTGAATGACAACAAGAATCCCTAACTGACGGTGTGTCCCAGGCAACACCTCTGTCTGCTATGGGAGTTAGTCGCAGCGAAATCCAAATATCTTTCGATGAGACTCTATGGTTGAGAGTCCTTGAATCACGTATTCTGGACTCAAGCGTGTGTGCACTGTGGGATTAAAGCACGCTTTGTGCAGAAGGCAATCACGGCACTGCCGCATCTACAAGAGCAAAACTCACCGCAGTCCGTAGCAACCGTAGGGTTGCAAACATAGGGTTTATCGGGTGTTAGCGGCCGTCGTGAGTTCCCTTCGGGAACGGACACGATAATTTACTTTTTTTTACCGCAGTCCAAGTCATAACGTACTGTCTACATATTTTTTCAATGACTACTTCAGGTACATTCGTGACAATGCTATCTCCTCCCTACAATCAGGTTTATTTGATGAACTGACCAACCTTACTTTAATGTAAGTCATGTGCACTTCTCAACAACTCATGAATAAGGGCAAACTCTTCTTACCTACAGTCCATTCAGAAACAGATGAGCACTGGCTCTGGAGAGCTCCCGTGTTTGGCGATTTTGTGGTACACTGTGCAGGGCCGCGCGATTCGAAACTTGAAAAAGGGTCCAAAAAAGGCACCTCAACTGGGTTTCGAACCGCAAATGTACTGTTATGGAAGTGGAGTGAACGGCCTGGATTTTCATGGTTTTTACCCAATTCAGTGCTTTGGGGGCTAAACCTGGCCGAAATCCTATTCTTGTTATGGCTTGCTTTTTGGAGAAATAGACTTCAAAAACACAATTGGAAGAGCATTCCATGGGGGATTGCCAAAAAAATTGTGACGAAAACTCAAAAATTTGACCCTTTTATGGCCAAAAGCTCAGTTGGATATCATCTTTTTTCTGAATGGACTGTAGTGACCATTGGACTGCATACTTTAAACCTCACGAATAGCGACAACTGGCAAATAATGTCACTCATCTCGTACTCAATCGAATGTCGTTGATCACAAGGTTCACTAGTATCTATCACAGTCATCTTGTTTTGGCTGGAAGCCTTATTTTACCTTCGCAATATTTCCAAATTTGGCCTCCACCGTATTTCGCAGATTTTTTTAGTGTTTATTTGAATTCGGATAGCTCAACAGTACAGAAGTACAACTACAAAGAGTACCGAATAGAAGGCCCCGAGAACGGGAAACCAAAAAAACAAAACAAAAACAGCAACATCAATTATTGATTATGCACATTGCTTGAAAGCAAATCACAACAATGATTAAGAGTTAAGCTGTCTTTTAGCCAAATAGCCAATTTGACGCGGAAATCTGCGATAGTAGTGCAGGACTTCAGGTCGTCTGGTAAATAATTCCAAACAAGAGCCGATTTACTTGAAAAGGACAGAAAGCCAGACATAGATTTATAGCGATTGATAATCATGTTATGGGTTGTTGAGCCGCGAGTAGTTCGGGTAGACGTACAGATGGGAAAGAGGGACTGCAAGCAAACAGCCGGCTTAATACAGTAACAGTGGAAAATGAATACAAGGAACAAAAATACTGATCGATATTGGGAAGAGGAAACAATGAGGTGGTGAAGAAGTGGCGTGATATTAGCTTAGGGTGATGCGCCACAAGCAACTCGTACAGCGCGCCGGTGAAGTGAGGCTAGCTTGTTTCTATTTTTAGCGGATATAAACGAAAGGTATACAGGGAGAGCATATTCTAGATCACGCTGAATAACACCGACAACGAAAGTACGGCGGGAAAACAGGTTCATCTGGCGGAAAGATCGGCGCAGTACACCAATCTTCCGTGAGGCTTTCCGGACGACATTGTTAATGTGTTGGTCAAAGGACAGCTTATTGTCAACAACGACTCCTAGGCATCTGGTGCTTTCCACTTCCCCTAGCGTAACATTTGACAAGGTGATTTGCAGTTGTTGCCTTTGTTGTTGGTGCTGACTCCCTGCAGATCACCCATCCTAGGGAAGAAATAGCTATTATAATGAATCCTATTTGTCTTTCCCTCAAACCAGTGAATAATGAATCTTTTTTACACCTGAAAGCTATCCACAACAGGTCAAGATAATGAGAAGTGCACGCGGGATTGAGTTTGGGAGGGGGAGGGAGGTCTTCGCTCGACTATCGGCTTGTAGCCGACCTTACAGCACTCTCACGACCCCTCTGGGGGCCGCCCTTAGTGACACAACAGAACAACAAGGACAATCAAGGCTAAGATGTCCCCTGATGATTGCGTGAGCATGAAACTTAAAGTAGCAGCAAACAAGCCTTGATTGTCCTTGTTGTTCTGTTGTGTATTACGCTCTGCCTTTGTGGTGTTGAGCACTGTCAGCACTCTGGGTACATCCTTCGGTCACCTTAGTGACACAAATTGCTCTCTAACACTGTGTCCTGGTCTTTTTGGTCGTGTACCTTGTGTTCTTGATGAAGATACTTGGATGAGAACAAGCTGACCTCCCTGCCACTGGGAATAGTGGACAAGCTCTCGAAGCTTGAAGTTTTGTGAGTTATGCACGTATGCCTTGAGCCTGGTGCCACTTGGAAAGAGCGTATGTTTCTAGGAAGGCATGATTATGGTAATTGTGAATTAGTCATTTTTCGCAGGTCAGCGGTACTGAAGCAGTGTCTGCTCTAGGGTTTCTAAACAACCGGGTGCACTTGTACCTGACAGAACCCGTCCAACCGGTTCAAAACCAGGTGTGTTCAAGTGCAGCTAGTCAACTGCATGTATACCGGGGAGCTTTAAATATCTTCGGACTGTATATGTAGCATATGTATACTACTTCCCAAAGTATTCCCATACGGATCACAAGTGACACGGTACTATTTGTCCAAACATAACATTACACCTGGCTGACCCGGCTCTGGAGCAGGTCTGTGAAGATGCCAACATGATACCAATAGATCTTAATTCCGCTTGAAAGTAGTAGGAACGTCTTTCAGTATTTTCTTTTGAGAACTTAGTTTATCCCTTCATTACCGGCCTGCAGACTTTCGATCTTATATTATTAATTACTAAAACCTTCGTAACTCCATCATTCCATGAGTCCTTATGGCGATTCCTTTGTTAATCGACGTGTGCTGTTCACAGCTCCGGACACGCCAATCTGCTACTAGGGCATCTGCATGATGGCATAGTCAACGGTAACCCTAGTCTTACCGAATTGTAAGTGCATGTTTGACGTCACGCTACTGTCCATAACACACAAACAGGTCTTGAGCACCCCAGATAGGCTGGCAGCTGGACAATGATTTACGGAGGACTACAACGGCACTCATAACTTTACTTGTGCCTCTTTAACTGGGCTATCTGGGACAAGGCCACTGACCGTAACTTTGAAATGTCCGTAACTCCGAATCACAAACATTTTGATGTTTGGATGAGAAAAGGCCACAGATATGGCGTATGCCGTCACTATTTACATGTACACTAAATATGACAAAAGAGAAGTCATATTTCCACCCAAGGGTGCTCAGTAGACCGAAGTTCCCGGAACCGGCTTCAGGGGTCTGATAACCAAGGTACGAGTGTCAGTAAACATGTTTTCTGTGGCTCAGCCCTACTGCGGCCTGCCACCAATCAATCTTCCTTTTCAAAGTGCATGCCTAGCATAATGATGGGATCCACCACAATTGATTAACCTGAGATGTTGCAGCATTACCAGTATTAGATATACTAGAAAGTCAGTGACACACTTCTCCAATGCGTATCACACTCACCTACTGTAACAAAGGCAGTGGTTTTACAACGCGGAATCATTGGGCTTGCGGTTTGTTGACCAGTTCTAGGTCCCGTGAGCATTTTCTATTGTTTGCATTGCGCAGGAGGAGAGAGAGAGAAAAGGAAAGCAATGGCAATCATGTATCTATCTACAGTGCTTGCAATTGAAATCCGACCCCTGAGCGGTGCGTTCACATCGCAAAGACACAACAAGGGTTAGTAAAAACGACGCTAGAATGCTAGAATGTGAACGCATCGCTCAGGGGTCGGATTTCAGTTCCCAGCACTGTAGTATTCTCAATAATTATTGATTTTTGTAGGAAACACTCTTTTGTCCTTAGTATGTGCACTTCAGGTATAGATGATCCATAGCATTGTCATTTATTTGAAATGGTTTGGGTTTTTTTGTTTCTGCTCCAGTGACTTTGGTTTCAATCGTCTGACGTCGCTACATCCTGAAATGTTTGCCAGTACACCACTCCTGACTATCCTGTGAGGACAAGCAATAGCTGTAACATGCATTTTTACAGGCGAACAAGTTCATATAATCTCACGAAACACATGAATGATAAATGACCCATCACTACTGTCAATATCGAAAGTCAAACTGACCCCATTTGAAAACCGGATTTATCCACTTTAACAAGACAATACTGCAGCTAGCTAAACCTAGAATTCGTCAAACATTCTGCATGGATGCATAGTGGGTTGGTGTAAGACAATGATCGAGATACAAGAGGTGTCGGTTTCAAGTCGTGCCCGGGAAACTACAAGTTACGCTATAGTAGGGAGGTTTCGCTCTAGGGAATTACGTATGAAAATCCGTATGTCGTACTCGCCGGGGAGCAAGGGCAGCTTTCATACGTAAATCTCTCTACGGATTTCCGTAGGAAAGCTCTTTCCTACGTTGGGTCCTCCGTAGGACTTTTTGAAATATTTTTCGCATTTTCCGCATTTGTCCATGGCAACGTTCAAGCCGCGCGAAACACAAGGTACACACACCGTACACCACGTGCAAAATAAGATGGAAAGCGCGGTTTCGGTTCATGGTGCATGCGGTGGGCGCATGCAGCCAACGTGTCTCCAAAGCAACAACGCGTGTTTAGCAGTCGTGGGTAAATCACGTAGAGCGAAACCCAGCAGCTCTGATTTTTACGTATGAAATCTCCGTGCAGTTCCTACGTTATTTTCATACGTAATTCCGTAGAGCGAAACCTCCCTATTGTCCACTAACGCCACCAGTTACATACTTGACAATTAGCTCATGCGGTGACATTGCACAAAACGGACCCTGGCTCTCAGCACAGCTTGCATTTCTAATTTGCTTACCTGTTATGTAGTGAAATTGTTAATTTTATCTACCAATCCCCTCGCAAAGAAGAGTGCAGTATTTCAGAGGCAATCCCTAGGTAATGCATCACTGCTTTGTCTGATGCCGTGGTGCCTTTGCTATGCGCATTCTGTGTTTTGGGTGATGGTCAATGCAGGAGACTTGACTACAACTTCATAACGGCTTTGCCGCTGGGAATCTTCGACAATCTTCCTCTGCTCACAACATTGTAAGATCAGGTCTGCAGACTTTGCCCTGTGAATACCGTCTAAACTAGACCCAGTAGTTCCCCTAGTCCAGATCAGCTCTGCAGACTTTGCCCAGTGAATGCAGTCTAAACTAGACCCAGTAGTTCCCCTAGTCCTGCACATAGGAAGATCACGGTACAAGCAACTTTGTGATGTGGGACTATGTCATACTAAGTGGAAACAAGGAAAACGGGGGGGGGCACAAGGTATGCGTTAGAGTGCACGAACGAAACCAAATTTTATCCCTCACCCACCATAGACCATTTCCCATGTTTCCATTTAATATTTTCCTTGGGTCAACATCCGAGTACTGACCATCTTCGGTGGCCATGGAACTATAATTATCATTGGCCCATGGCATTAAGGTGGTTGCACCTATCACCCACCTCACCCCAGCCTTCGTAATCTCCTTTCTGTTGGTTATGGTTCATCTTTTCTCTGTCTTCCTCCTTTTCTCCTCTGTCTGCCACTCATCGGTGTGCTCCCACATCAGCGCGGTTAACCCCAGTGCCCCTGTTATGAGCATTCCCCAGTTCGCACAGGACTCAATTCGGCATAACCCTCAACACCTATCAAGCATACCCTTGCTGAGAATCGCACGTGAAAGTTGCAGTGCTGTCGGCCTCTGATTTCCTGCAGTTGTGGGTGCAACAATAGAGGGTATAATATCACCTCTACATACTCTATAGGGTAGCCAAACCAGCAGAGGTTGATCAGGGCCGTCACAGGCATTGAGGAGCGATACGACAGAAGTTGAGCCAAGCCAGCAGAGGTTGATCAGGGCCGTCACAGGGGCATTGAAGGTCGATACAACAGGGAGTCGGTCGCCGTGAAAAATATTGGATTTTCGACCATCAGGGCACGTTTTCAGTGGTTTGAGGGAGTGACACAAACGGGAAAAGGGCACGTTTTAGTGCTCCTTTCTTGCTCTTTAATAGTAACTGTGCGGACCGCTGGTGCATCCTTTTACGACAATGATCGTACTGGTCCTACCGCGTGTGACGTCTCTATCAATTCTTATAACTCTGACAGTACCTTCGCGGGTATGTCTTTAGCTGGTATGTCTTTAGCGGGTATGTCTTTAGCTGGTATAGGCTGTTAACTTCTCGTTTCGCACTCTCATGTAAAGTGAAACTCCCCAGATGTGGGCAGATTGGGAACAGGTACGTATGTACGTATTCGTTATTTTACTTCGCAAAGTCAAACGGGATCGTTGCCCAATAGTATGATAGCGAACGTACTGCTCGTAACTAGGAACATACGGTCTTACTGAATGCAAGAAATCATAGTTTTATTTATAAGAAGTAAAAAGGGCCAAAGAGCTACAAGTTACGCTGTAATTATCCACTTACACCACCAGTTACTTTACAATCAGCTTATATGATAACATCGCACAACACTGACCAACTTTTTTCTTCTGATAAATTAATCGTTGGCTTTCCACCCGAGTGTAACATTTTTATGTCAATCAATCCCGTTTGCGTCTTTCCCTCAAATCAGTGAAGAGTTGTCAAGGAGTATTTTTCGTTGAAATGCCAGTTTTAGTGACTCTAGATGGGTGGGAAAGGTGCCCAGTAGACGGACGTGCCCGTATTAGCAAAAGTACATAAACACAAACAGGTCTTGAGCCCCCCAGATAGGCTGCCAGCTGGACAATGATTTACAAAGGATTACAACTACACTCATAACTTTACATGTGCCTCGTTTACCTATGCAGTTACTGTAAGACATGTACATATAACGAGGAAGCAAATCTAACGTTTTAACGGATGACATTTCTTCGTTATAATAAGATCCGTTGAGGCCGTACTGCTTCATATACTGAGTATGCTGTGTTCGGATATGGCAGAATACTGCAAGATCGTTAACATATCTTCTCGTTAACCTATGAATTTTGGACAATCGTTAAATTTGCGACTCGTTATAATAACATGTCTTACAGTATGCAGTCTTGGTATTAGGGATATCCGGATCTGGGGAGTTTTGCTGTCTGTTGTACCAGTATGCTCTTCTCTACTGTGTTTGTTCCCAGCACAATTGCAAACAATTCCTTTCCGCTGAACGCATCCCTCTGCCCACTGATAACCATTCGAAAGACCAACGCATTCGTAGACAGTGCAGACAGTCCAGTGCTGTTCGAGACGGCCGTCGGCTTGTGGATCAAACAGAGTAAGACTGCTGAAGTTCAAGAAAGCACTGCATGTGTATGTGTGGTAAATGCCACTGTCTACTGAGAAAGGATACGGTTTTGGCACTTTGGTTGGCCAAAATCGGCCAAATGTTATACATGTACATGTGCACCCAACATCGTGAATACCGACCTTGGTTATGACAACTTGCGTGTAACGACACAGTCTTCAAATCTACAGTCCATTCATAAAAAATGGGGCCTTGAGTCTGGCGAGCTCCCGTTTTTGCCGATTTTAGCGTACATGGTGCAGTGCCCCGAAATTTGTTATTTGAAAAGGGTCCAGAAAGGGACCTCTAGTTGGGTGAGAACCGTACAATGTACTGTTGCAAGTAGATTGAAACGGTCTGGATTTTCCCAATTCAGCGCCCCTAGATAGCCATTGTCGGACTATGCTCGGCCAATCGTCAAATTATGCTTTTGATAATGCCACAATTATGCCAACAAATATGCTGAATTATGCTGAATTATGCTCGGTTCCACTATGTATTCACGCTGTACATAGAGGATTGAGAATCCACGCATACACACACGGCCATGCCCTAAGCATAATTTTTGTCTAAACCGAAAGATTATGCCGACCTGACTAAGTACACGTTAGAATCCGTATATTATGCCTGAGCATAATTTTTGGACGAAATCCCAATATTATGCCAAATATTATGCCGGCATAATCGGCCAAGGGCTATGACAAGGAGTCGTAACTGGGGTATTTAAAAAAAACATCTGCAGGCTTTCTGAAAAAGCTGTATTATGCCCCAAGCATAATATTTTGTCTAAACGGAAAGATTATGCCGACCTTATTCGTTGGAATCCGTGTAATGCCGGAGCATAATATTTTGACGAAATCCCAAGATTATGCCAAATATTATGCCGGCATAATCCGCCAAGGGCTAACCCTAGAGCAAAGCCTGGATGAAATCCTATTCTCCTTACGGTTTGCTTTTTGGCGAAGTAGACTTCAGAAACATATTTGGAAGATAATTCCAAAGAGGATTGCCTAATATTCTCTAAAAACTCAAAAGTTTAACCCATTTATGGCCAAAAACTAGAAATCCATCCTTTTGTGAATGGACTGTAGTGACCATTAACTGTAGACATATTACACTTAATTACAACTGTGTGACTTTAGAGTTGCTACATGTACATTTAGGTACATGTACATGTACTCGACATTACAAAAGGAAAAAGAAGAAGATGAATACTTATTTATTTTATTTATTTATTTATTCAACATCTCCTGGCCCGTCCGAAGACTGCCAATAAACATGAGAGGTCAGGTGATAGCCAACCACGGCAAGCTAAAAGGGAGAAAAAGAAAGATGCTGTCAGAGAGGGAAAGGAGATAGGGAGAGAAAAAGAAAGGGAGGCACATTAGTAATACATGGGATCACTTCGGATGAGACAGTGTGGAAAGCTGGACTTTGAATTTCCTGATATCCTGGCATGTCTTAATGCTAGTAGGCAGGTTAGACCAAAGGGAGTATGCTGAGAAGAAAGGGGATTTCAAAAACAGAGAGGAACTAGCTCGGGGCAGTGATAAGGCATTGCGTGTTGGTCTAGTGGTAACAAACCAGTTGTACTTGGCAATATGTTTCGGGACTTGGGCTAGGAAGATTTTTTGCACAAGGATACAAAGATGCTGCTGATGTCGGGCAAGAAGAGGGTGCGTGGAAGCAAGTTTATAAAGACAAAGGGAGGCAAATGTTTGGTCTTTTCGAAACAGAATTTTCAGAAGCAAGCGTTGATGTACTTCCAGTCTGTGGAGTAAAGTCTGAGACAACCCGCACCAAGCTATATCGCAATAGTCAAATATAGGCAAAATGTACGACTTAAAGAACAATTTTCTGCAGTTATCATTCAAGTGTTGGCAGTGGGGTTGTAGCATACCTAAGGACGCACTCGCACGCTTGCACACAGACTGGACTTGTGGAGACCAGGAGAGTTGGCGGTCGAGAATAACGCCCAGGTGCTTGTGCTCGTTAACAACTTTAATAGGTGTACTATTTAGACCAGGAAAATACAGAAGCTGAGTGGGGGGCGAGGGAGAGAAGAACATGGCCTCGGTTTTGGCGAGGTTGGGCTTCAGTTTCCAGGTTTCCATCCATGTTACTGTAGCGTTGACCCCGGACTGCATGGAGGCCGTGAGGTTGTCTGCCGAGCTGTCGGAGCACATCAGAGCAGTGTCGTCAGCAAAAAGACTTACATTTGGCACAAGGGCTGGCAAGTCATTAACGTACAGTAGAAATAGGAGCGGCCCAAGTATGGACCCCTGGGGTACCCCAGACACGACTAGTACTTAGTTTTAACTTTGAGTTTCGTGTACCAGACTACTCGTTTCGTTTTTTTTCAATATCCTCTTTCCTCTGTTGTAAGTAGCTCTGCCATTCAGCATTGAGCACTCTTTTGGACAGCCTGCAACCTTTCTGTTCAGGGGACATGTGAATGATGATTGAACTACTTAGAAAATCAATATATCTGGAATCTAGACAATGATCTTCTGATGTCTTCAATGACAACTGTGTGCTTTCACAGTCGTCAACACAAAATGCAATGGTGCTGATGTGCGTTGCTATGGTTTCCCTGGTGAGGCTCTCGGCTACATGTGCTCCTGTCCTGCTGGAACGGCTTACAACGGTACAGCGTGTGTTACCATACCAACCTGCGCTGCCTGCACAATCTACCCATCGTGCCATGGACCGCCGACAAACTTCAGTTGTGACTGCGTCCTACCAAGCACCGCGATGCTAAGCAGAAACATTTCTTCAGGATGCGCCTCAGCAAGATTCCCTTGCGATGATGGCCTAACATTTCGTCAGACCGATATCTTGACTTGCCAGAGTTCTGCATTAGGTAATGTACAACTGCTCTGTGTCCCTTTCCTTGAAAAGATGGTATAGTTAATGTGAAATGCACCGTTGTTCACAGGACTTCGTTGCAACATCATTGCTATCCGTCATTCTGAACTCTTTTGTCACACCTAACAAGACTGAAACAGCTAGTTGTCCATAGACATCACCTTGTCTCCAGGTCAATTATTTAATATCTAGAAACTGCCTCGTAGTGTACTGCAATACCCATCACCGTCTTTGCTTTTCGCGACATCGCGCCAAATATCCACAATGTGTGATGTATGTTGCAGATGACCGTCCGTCTCTTTCCACGACGCCATGGACGAGCAACTCTACAAGTAATACTCACACGCCTTCAGCAAATCCAAAGTGGACATCATCAGGTAGCAACACCAGCACTCCGCAAACTGTGACCTCCGACAATGCAACCATACCTCCCGTGAGCAGTACCCCTGCGACCACTGCAAGCAGCGAAGTGAGAAGTCCACAATACACAACTTCAAGGACTGCTCATACAAATCTTACTCATAGTACAAACACAATTCCAATTGGAAGTTCGAACAATACATCACCCACTAACACTGGCCCACTTCTATTCAGTAGTTTGAGCACTATTCCACCCACCACCACCACCAGCAAAATTCCAGTTAGCAGTTTGAACAATACTCCAACCAGCACCACAAACACATTTCAAACTAGCAGTTCCAACAACCTCCCACCCAGTAGCACCAACACACTTCCAATCAGCACCATGAACCAAGAGGTCACAAGCACGAATCATACTTCCACAGAATTCCCTTCCAGCGTACCCTTGACCAGCAACACACATGCATCTAAGCCACGTAGCCCTAGTACAGCTGAAGCAAGAAACACAACACGTAGCACTGAAAACAGCCATACAAGCCATGTAAGTGCAAGCAGCACCCAGCTACCTGCAACCTCCCAAAGCAGAAGCAGCCAGGCAATCACCAGCATGAGAAACATCAGCAATACCACTGGCCGAACTCCACCAGCAACTCTGCAGCAGCTATCCAACGTAAGTGCTTGTGTTGCCGAAGAAGGATACACAAACGAGATATGAGCCCAGCACCCTTGTCTTTCCGGGACAGTGCCACGCCGATGTACCCTACTGGGAATCAAACGGACACATACATACACCGGTGGCTCTTTCTTGCTACCCTCCCTCACTTAGTAAATTTGAATGCATTTCCAAAAAGAGGTTTGTCCCTTGGACTATGTACTTTGTGGATTTCTTGGAAGCATGTGCATTTGTTTGTGGGGTGTTTGTGTGTGTGGTGGTAGGGGATGGGTGGTGAGGGGGGGGGGGAGGGGATGGGACAGTGTGACAGTGGTAGTAAAATTGACTTTCATATGGGTGAATATAACGTGGGGGTGGGGTGAAGGGGAACTGTCGGTCAACTTATTAAGAACCCTTCTGCATTCTACCCTTTTCAACAGGCTCAACTGAATGCTAGTGATTCACAGCAGATTGTGCAAACTAGTGGCTTGCTGCAGGCACTAACTGAGAACAACATCACACTCTCCAGCAGAGATATCGACCATGCTGCTGAAGTCCTTACTAATCTGGCTATTGCTATGAATGCAAGCCAGAGTGTCAACCACACCGACTGGCTGCAGGTGAATGTATGGTTAGCGACAGCAGTCTCCACGTTGATTACTTCCAAGCGGACGTAAAGCAACATTGACAGAAATATCAAACGATAATAAGAGAATGAAAAAGTGTTTTACTCTGAGTTTCATGTACTAAGGGATCAACAGAAAACAGTAAAAGTAACTGTTTTCTGGTGATCAATTACAGTCCATTCATTGGAAACTGGCAACCTAACGTTTTGGTGTCTCTCTCACATAGTTGTAGATATCGTGAAAACAACAGTACATCCTGCATTGTGTGACCCGTGCAATTAGAAAAGTTCAAGAACAGGGAAATAGAAATTCAGCCAGGTTTTACAAAATTAGGACAGGTATGCCATGGCAAAATGTATGGAGAAGCAGATCCAAAACCCAGATTTTTGAGATTTAAAGTGGGTTTTGATCCTCAATTCGGCCTAAATCCAACTTTCAAAAGCCAGCGGGCCAGTTTCCGATGAATGGACTGTAGTATTTGAAACTCAGTAAAAAACCTTTTTCATCCTCTTATTATTGTTTGAACTAGCTCTACCTTTCGGTATTGAGCAGAATGAGCACTCTCTTCGAAAGCCTGGAATCTCTCTCTATTTTTGAGACAAATAATTATTATGGAGAAGAAGACCGAATGATTAGGTGTCAGCCACGAGCAGCAAATCTGATTCTTGAAATGTTCATGACCTCTGCTTAAGGAGGTCATGAAAAAGAAGACCGGATAGGAAAGCTATCGGTTAGTATTTGTGAAGAGCCAAACTACAAGAAAAACAGGGTTAAAGAGAAGCATGAGGTACCTTATTTCCAATAAGAACAGTGATTTCAAACACTGTAAAGTATGCAACAAATTATTTATCGTCTATCGCACTTTGCTTTGCTCCGCCAGCAAGAAATTCCTTTACGTGTGTATTCAATTTTTGTGCGTGCGTGATTTTCACCACAGGTGGCAGCCAGTGTAGTGACAACTGTTGATAACATCTTGAAACAAAATAGCTCAGCAGTCAGTGCTTACACTGGACCAAGGTACAGTTTCTGATATAGGGCTCCCTTGTCAGCTTCTTTTACCGCAGTTGCTTAGTGCATTCCTTCAAACACTGCTTCGCAGGGTGAGCCTGTGCCCATGTGTGTGTATTTGTGTGTGCGTGTGTATGTGCACGCATGCGTGTAATGTTATGTCTTTTATGAGTGTTCTTTTTTGTCAGCCGAGTTTTCCGCATCCGCAGGAACGCCACCACCCTCTAGGATCAAGGCGCAGACGCATCTCCTGAGCGCCTAATGAATGTGCATGTGTCTATATCCATTTACGGAATGATTGTGCATGCACGCAACATAATTAAAGCCTTTTGGAAAGTGGTCGTGTCCAGAATTTTATGCATCAGTCTGAATGCTTGTTCGCATTTGATTGAAATCTTTTATTCTCACGATGGCCTGTGGCCAATAAGAGAAAATTAACTACATGCACGGGGATCGGATAAAGAGAAATCAAAATTTAGCTGCTTGGTAAAATAGTAGCTATGGCAATAAGGAGTTTATCACATAGGCTGCGCACAATGGGGCTATAGATTTGCTGAGCAGTGTGAGCAGGTACATACGGAAGAGACGTGTACATTTGTGCTCGTTGAAATCCGACCCGAAATCCATATTAGACGCCCTTCACTTGCACGACCGGTTGACGCCCAGAAAGTGGTACAAACGCCGCTGGATGCTCACTTGTGCAAGCACAGTGATGTAATCCCATTGAGGGCAGCCAATTTCTCGCACCAAATTATTATTTTTGCTACTTGACTCTGCAACCCCGCCCGTTGTTTTTCGATGCCACGTAGCAACGCTAACGCCGAGACCTCTGGTCGGTCGAGTTGCTCCCTGTACATCGGCACGTCGTCCCTACATCCCCTGTGGCTTGTTTTGCGTTTGTCTCCACTTGTCTCTTTGTAGAGCTGTGTTCCCAGTAAAAAATAACGTTTTGATAGTTTACCTGGATTCCAGTCATAGGAAAAAAAGGTTTCAGAGCAGACTCGCTCTCTTCCCATTCCCTCTGCAAATTCGAACTCAGTTCTCAATCATTTTTTTCCGATTTCAGTCAGTGGAACAATATCTACATGCTTTTCCTGTACAGGATTGCTCAGTCTCTTGAGACCCTGCTTTTCTCCTACACACGGAGTGCCATTCAGAGCAACTATACGCTGATCAGTATTGTGAAACCAAACATAGCCCTGGCCATAGGCTGCCTGAACATCACCGACCAGGCACAGCTTCTTGCAGCTCTTTCACATGGGAAAGAGGTATTTCTAGGACCAGCTGAAGTGTTTACTCAGAACACAGGTATGTACTGGGATAATAGAGAGGTTAAGTTGCACGTTATTTCTGACCTGATGCGAAAGTTCAGATCGCGTTATTTGGCTCGCGCGTTGAAAAACAACATGAGTGACCGGCACCTCACGTCGAAATTTGGAGTTTTACGCCAAATTTGACGTGAAATTGCGCGTCATGTCGGAAAAAATGTGCATCTTAACCTATGGACAAGATTAAAACTTAATTTTCTCTCTCCATTCCTCTGTATCCTCCCGTTATGACTTTTGAGCATTCCATCTATTAAATTAGTGGACGGACTTGACGAGCCATTCGAGCAGATATTATGGAATGATCGAGTACTTGGCTCCACTGCGCAAGGGCTGCTGAATGCCCATATAGCCCAGATCTTTCCTCCAATCACCGGATGATCATGATTAGATGTGAAACACAGGATTCTGTCTCTTTCTGTATCTTGCTTTATCCCCCGTCTCTCTCTCTTTCTGTATCTTGCTTTATCCCCCCGTCTCTCTCTCTCGCTGTCTCCTTATCCAGCTCCCTCTGTCTCTGTCTGTCTCTCTCTTTGTCTTTACCTCTCTCTCTCTTTCTCTCTCTCTCTCTCTATCTCTCTCTGTCTCTCTCTCTCTCTCTCTCTCTCTCTGTCTCTCTGTCTCCCTCTCTTTCTCTGTCTCTCTCTCTCTCTCTCTCTCTCTCTCTCTCTCTCTCTCTCTCTCCTCTCTCTCTCTCTCTCTCTCTCTTCTCTCTCTCTCTCTCTCTCTCTCTCTCTCTCTCTCTCTCCTCTCTCTGTCTCTCTGTCTCTTCTCTCTCTCTCTCTGTCTCTCTCTCTCTCTATCTGTCTCTCTCTCTCTCTCTCTCTCTCTCTCTCTCTCTCTCTCTGTCTCTCTGTCTCCCTCTCCTCTCTCTCTCTCTCTCTCTCTCTCTCTCTCTCTCTCTCTCTCTCTCTCTCTCTCTCTCTCTCTCTCTCTCTCTCTCTCTCTCTTTCTCTCTCTCTCTCTCTCTCTCTCTCTCTCTCTCTCTCTCTCTCTCTCTCTCTCTCTCTCTCTCTCTCTCTCTCTCTCTCTCTCTCTCTCTCTCTCTCTCTCTCTCTCTCTCTCTCTCTCTCTCTCTCTCTCTCTCTCTTTCATATGAGTCTCTAAACTATTGTTATACTATTACAATCTCCACCCGAGTCTAATCATAATTGTAATGATATTGTTGTTTCAATGGCAGTCATGCTCCGCTGTCTGCCTGTTTCTCTTCAGAGAATACAACGCTACTGGTAAACATCCCAGGTGTTGTCCTTCACCAGACAGCAGCAGCAGCAGCAGCAGCACAGCTGACATCTGACATCTACACCACCAACTCAAGCATGTGTCCGACATCCTGGACCTCCTTCATCTTCTACAAGAAAGCCACACTGTTCATAGATCACAGCCTTCCGGACAACACCGATGTCTTGTCCGGCGTGATTTCAGTCAATATCGGGAATATTGTTTCTGGTGATGACTTGCAGCAACCAGCAAATTTCACTTTCAAATTAGTGGAGGAAGAGGTTTGTACAGTATAACAAGAATATAATTATACTAAAGAGGGTACAAACTATAGCCTTACCGAGTCCAGTCTCCAACTTCATACAAATGATCATTTCACATCTTATCTCCTGCACAAGGCATGCATGTATGCAGTACTCGTCCCTTAACTATGTGAAGGCAAATCTATCATCTTCCCCTGCATTGCGGATTGTTTGGCGTTGTGAACTATGCAGGCAAGGGTGGTGGTGAATACTACGTGTGTATTCTGGGACTTCCAAAGCGGTGAGTGGATTGTGTGTTCCAACATACTCCAGTACAGCATGCACAGATGCATGCATGCTCGTATCCACGGACACACAGCACACGCGCACACTTGTATTCATGTACCCAGCACATAGTTTAACACACATGGGAACACACACACACACACACTCTCTTTCTCACACACACACACACACACGCTCCCATGCGTGAGCATACAAACACACACATGCATACCTGCACATACACATAAACACCCACACACCCACCAAACACACACACACACACACACACACACAAACAAACACACACACCTGCACCCACCCCCCCCCCCCCCACACACACACACCGTTGGACCATTGGACACCCATCGCCGGAGGCAATGATAGCAATGCTACAGCAGAAGCCTTAGCAGCTTGTGCTGCACACTTGTACAAACACAAACACACACATTCACGCAGAATACACACACGCACGCACACACACGCATACACACACAAATCAACACATACACACACAGTTCATGTAATCATGATCTACTTTGTCATACTCCATGTAGGCAGCTGGAGCACGGAAGGTTGCCGTCTTCTTACACCAGATGAAAATAACCAGGACAAGAGAGCCTATTGTCAGTGTACACATCTGAGTAACTTTGCTGTGCTCGTCGTAAGTACAATCACACACTATAATTTCACAAATGTTCACTGTGCCTTTAGCTTCCGTGCTTTCGGTGCATCTCTTTTCATTCCTGAAATTTCAATAGCCGCACGGACACAAACACACATCATCCATTACGGAATGGCTTACCTGTACCTAACATTTCTATTCACCTAGCCTGGTCTTCTGCTCCCATGCCTACGGTATTGAGCATCCCAAATTTTTGAAACTAGAGTTTTTCACTCACAAAGCGACTATTCAGTACATGGGGTAGTGGTCTACCAGAGCAATCACACTCACCACCGTGGTGGTTTTCCAGAAATGAGTAGAAGCAGAAAACCACACTCGCAGCCACATAATAGATAAATAGCCGAAAAACATCTAAATCCATCAAAGAACCGCCAGCAAGCGGGAGAAAAGGCCGTGAAATCAAGTGAAACAGCATGGCCAGTGGTGAGCATGGGTGACTGGGCAGCAGGGGAGCGCCTGAAAAACAATGACTCCCTACATTCCTAGCCGCGACCGCTCAACCGGGCTAGAGGAAAAACACGCCTTTCGGCCAAAAAACCTTTCTACTTCATTAATTCCTGCCCCGCTGCCAGTCAGACCCAAGAATAGAGATAGCAAGAAATGGTATGTAATAACCGGTGTATGTCATAATCATAAGCCACACACATAGGCATAGATTGACAAGAAGAACAGCGGACGACTCCCATGAAACCAGGGTGGGTGGGCGGGCAACTTCAACTACCACGAGGAAAAACAAAGACCACGATGGCAGGTTCAACGGAGTTGCGCAGAACAAGAGCAAATGCACGAAAATATTTGTGAGTGAAAAATACGTTTTTTGCACTCTTTCGCTACGCTCAGCCGTGAAAAAACAAAACTTTTCACTCACAAAGCGACTATTCAGTACATGGGGTAGTGGTCTACCAGAGCAATCACACTCACGATGTAAAGGATAGTGAGGCCGATAGGAGAGCAGCACACATAGATTTGGACAAGGAAAACGAGCAGTGTGGCGCATGGCGCCAGTGTGCCAAAGTCTTGGGCACTGTGACCACCATCTGTGGCCAAGTGTATAGTTACTATGAACATTATGGAGACCCGGCCAGACTTGCCCTGGGATGCTCACTAGTAGGCCAGGTTGGGTCCGGTGGCAACCGGGCGAGCACACATCAGCCAGGATAACATGATCAGCAGTGCACTCCGAGCAGACAATATCTCTGCGAAATGCCCGAAAGTTCCCCTGCTAGGTTGCGAAAGATACATCATGGAGTAGTACTGCCAGTAAATTCAATGTGAGGTGCTGTACTTCCGTGATTGGGCTGGACGTCCGTTCAGTTCCTGCAAGAGAAGGAATCCTGTATCGGATGCACACGTCCGCCCCTCACACACTTACTGCACACTCATGCACTCTTACGCACATTCACTGTACCCACACGTACTGTACACACACACACACATCCTGTACACCCACGTACTGCCCGTGCACGTACACTCCTCCGCGTGCCCCGACAAAAAACGGGGTGAAAAGCCGGTACCGAGACATAAAAAACCCACATACCTCTATGTAACTCTCACTCTCTCTCTCTCTCTCTCTCTCTCTCTCTCTCTCTCTCTCGGTTTCAACATGTCTGTCATCATTCATAACCACATGATCGTTCATCAAGTCATACACCATCATGTGTCATCACTGACCATCGGGCTTCTCTCTCATCATGGCATCTAGCCATACACAACCGTGTGTCATCACTGCCCATCGGGCTTCTCCCTCATCATGGCATCAAGCCATACACAACCATGTGTCATCACTGCCCATCGGGCTTCTCCCTCATCATGGCATCAAGCCATACACAGCCATGTGCCATCACTGCCCATCGGGCTTCTCCCTCATCATGGCATCAAGCCATACACAACCATGTGTCATCACTGCCCATCGGGCTTCTCCCTCATCATGGCACCAAGCCATACTCATCACTGCCCATCGGGCTTCTCCCTCCCCCTCATCATGGCATCTAGCCATACACAACCATGTGCCATCACGGCCCATCGGGCTTCTCCCTCATTATGGCATCAAGCCATACACAATCTTGTGTCCTCACTGCCCATTGGGCTTCTCCGTGAGTATGGCATCAAGCCCTACGCAATCATGTGTCATCACTGCCCATCGGGCTTCTTACTCACTCCATCATCACTCACATACACACTAAATAATGGCAAGCCGGGTTACCCATTTATACACCACACAAGGCCGTTCCCAATCGCTTGCATCTTTTCCAGTCGTGGGTGATCCGGTGTCTGTTCCACGGCCTAGGTACTGGCTTGGTACTTAAAAGACAGCAAGAGGAAAACATATAAATACTTCATTAAGATTCAACACCGAAAACATAAGGACGGCATGCACAAGCGAGATCAAGATACGTAAAGCTTTAGCCAGTTGACTTGGCCTGGCAGCTGACTGGGGTGTCTCGCACACCTTACACAATCAAAGTGGTGGCTTTTTAAAACTGTTATGAATTGGTTTGGCGTTACAACAGTGGAGTTGTGCAGTGTGCCATCATGTTACCTCACCTCGCGAGGATTACGCGCTACCTGCCGCTTTAGTTATCGCTCCGTCTGGAACGTACCCTGATATTGAGCGTGTTCGGGAACCCTAGTCTTACTCTCTGGACGAAGGAAACCTGGACAGTATTGCTTCCCACCCCTGGTCAACATCGCATGTCCCCCTGCCGTTGCTGTCCCATTATCTGTTGTGTTCTTGTCGCTTGCTGCAATAGCCCATGACTATTGTCGTACTTGTTTGCACAATCCCAGGCTGTACTTTGGAACTGTTTCCATTGCCCATGTACTCCTTATTCTTTGCTTGCTTTTATGCTGAGAGAACATATGCTGGCTCCCTGTACTGCTTAGCCGTGTACTCATTCGGTAGAAATGTGTGAATAATACTAATATCTGACGTGAGTGAGGTGGATGGGCACCTCGGGAACACAAGTTTGAAGTCAGCAAGCAGTCAACTTTTGCGTGAATTTCTTCCGGAACCATGTCTGGTGGGCCCCACCTGTGAAAAAACAAACAAACATTTGTCTCGTCCTGCCGGCCAATTGTCCCCCCTTGTGTGTCCGATGGCTGCGGACGTCGAAATCTGTTACACCCCGATTACACCTGGCCGGAAATCTACTAGCATTTTGCACGATGTTTGACTTGGACAACATTTACTGCCCTGCCATTGTTGCCCGATTTTTGTACTCAGACTGACAAACTAACTGCTCTTGTTGTTCATGGTTGCCTCTACAAACACGATATTGTCATGTACATCGCTCTGCACATCCATAACATTCTGATGGTCCCGTGACATTGATCATGCACCCTGTGTATGGCCTAGAGCGGTACGGACTGGGCGTTTGTTTGCTCCCTCGACGGCATGTACACCCCTTTCGATCGTGTCAACTACATGATTATGTACTTCTTAATTTAAATTATCGAAAAAACATCCACAGTCTCAAGTACTGATACTTATCTTTTCTCTCCGGTCCATGTGCGGTCCGAAAACTGGCTGGCTGTCCCAATGAACTCCGGTTGGTGTTGTCAACAGACAGCTACGACCTTGCTGCCCTTCGCCACGATATCAGACAACTACTTCAGTATGACTGCGGTGTCACCTCTGCCAGGAGCTTCGCCACCATTTGGGACACGATGTTGTGATCGACAGCGCTCATCACCGACTCCGTAGACTCTCGATCTCATCACTGCGCCCACGGAAAACTCTCAAGGACTCGCTGAAGCTTTGAAGAGTATGGTTGCGGTACAGGTAGGTGTCGACTCGACATGTCGGAACTGAGTGACCAATTGTTTTGTCAACTAAATTTTACTTCCCCAATCTTTGCTGGTCGTCCGAAACGCCCTGATTTGTGTAGCTGTCAACGGTGACTCTGCTCCGCCTGGTACCAAACTTACTTGCTTGTGTGTGGCGGATTACGCTCAGCTCGTTTTAGCTGTTTCCGCCTTTCGCAGATCGATCTGCAGCTCCCAAAAACGTCAGGTTACTGGTACATCAGTTTGCAGGCCCAACCAGGCGATACGCGATGTGGACCTTTTGTAGGCTGGACCGATTCATTATAGACGGTGCACGGCACTGTCGTTTCTTTCTCCCGGACTATTACACTGTAGATCTACTCTGAAAAAATAATAAGATGAGTTGTGGTGTTGTGTGGCTGCGAGTGGAAACTAAAAACTGGAGCACTTGAAAACTTCAACTACCACGAGGAAAAACAAAGACCACGATGGCAGGTTCAACGGAGTTGCGCAGAACAAGAGCAAATGCACGAAAATATTTGTGAGTGAAAAATACGTTTTTTGCACTCTTTCGCTACGCTCAGCCGTGAAAAAACAAAACAACTCAAAGCATTCATATCTAAATAGCGTGGAACTCAGTATGTGTGTTTTCTTATAAGACAATCTTTTCGCTTAGAACGCAAATTTTTCGTAACTTTTGCGTGTTTATTCATACTGAAGGATTCTTCCCTGTTCCCCATGGGGTATGTGTTCTTTGTCTGTCATTTGATGTGCTCATGCATTTATGTTCCTGGGTATACGTGCATATGAGTGCATACGTGTGTGTGCAGGTGTGTGTGTGTGTGTGTGTGTGTGTGTGTGTGTGTGTGTGTGTGTGTGTGTGTGTGTGTGTGTGTGTGTGTGTGTGTGTGTGTGTGTGTGTGTGGTTGTGTGTGTGTGTGTGGTTGTGTGTGTGTGTGTGTGTGTGTGTGTGTGTGTGTGTGTGTGTGTGTGTGTGTGTGTGTGTGGGTGTGTGTGTGTGTGTGTGTGAGCATTCATCAAAGGGCTTTGCGGTGTTCATCGACTTGCGCAAAGCATAGGGTTCTCTCCAGGCTCGGCGTGCCGGATAAGATGATCTCCATCATTCGGTCGTTCCATGAAGGCATGTCTGCATCCATTCGTCTCGGCGCAGATCTGCTCGACCCTTTCCCGGTGGGAAATGGCCTACGTCAGGGATGCACTATGGCCCCGATCCTGTTCAACTTATTCATGGGTGCGGTTGTGGAAAAGTGGCATGCTACCATCGCCAATGACGAGGATATCGGTATCCAGGTGTCGCAGTTTCGCAGAGACTGCTTGTTCAATACGCGTCTCAGAGAGTGTCGCAGGGTGACTATCACGGAGTGTCAGTTTGCGGACGATTCGTCACTGTTCGCCAAAACCTACGGCGGTGCTGAAAGGGCCTTGGCCACGTTTCGACAGGTTGCAGCATCTTTTGGCCTGTCAGTCAATCTGGGCAAAACTAAGTTCATGCCTATGGGCGTTGGTGTGGTGGCGTCGGATATGTTGCCTTTGGGTGGAACCGTCGAATGCGTGGACAGCTTTCGCTATCTTGGCTGCCAGATCACTCCTGATGCTAGGAGTAGCTTTGATGTCTCTCGCAGGATCGCCGCAGCTTCGGGCGCATTTGGCGCATTGAAGAAAGCTGTGTTTGCGAACTCGGAGTTTCCTATCGGTCTCAAGCGTGTTGTGTACGGAGTCACTGTGTTGGCAGTACTCCTCTATGGTGCTGAGAACTGGACACCGAGGCAACGGGATCTCCAGCGTCTGGAGTCGTTTCACCTGCGATCTATACGCATGGTCCTGGGCATCAGTCGGGCGCGCCAGATGGACGAGCACGTGACAACCCTTCAGGTACGGCAGTGGTGGGGTGACATGGAGCAGGTCTCTGACAAGGTCCGGCGCCGTCGTCTCCAATGGCTGGGCCACCTGGCTCGCATGGATGACCGTATTCCCCGCCAATTGCTCTTTGGTGCCTTGCCGTCTAAACGACCTCCACATGGCCCCCGGAAGAGGTGGAAAGACCCAATCAAACATGACCTGACGGCGGTGTCCATTGGCATGAATGAGTGGCTTGAAACAGCAGATGATAGGTCTGAGTGGAGAACCAGGTGTCAGGATGGAGTCTACAGTGTGGTATGCTCTCGTGTACAACCTGCCGTGAAACCACTCCTGTGTATGGTCTGCACACGCCGTTTCAGCCGTCCTCAAGACATCGCTAGACATAGTTGCACCTCCCATCGCTCCGCAAAGGCAAAAAACAAACAGTGAAACAGCCGTTCACGTCCCGCCGGACTCGCAGGGCCTCATGCCGCGTCCCGGAGACAGCACTCCTCCAAGTCGCCCCGTTTGGGGACACATAGCCAATCGTGGCAGTGGGCGAAGGAAGGAAGGTGTGTGTGTGTGTGAATGCATGCTGTGCACATGCACAAAAGTCATGAATGTATAATGTCTGTAAATGTATCCTGTGTACCTGCATACATGTAGTCTCGCAATGTAGTCAATCAGCAAGGACCGGAAAGCAAAGCCCAGAGAGCACTGAGCATCGTTACCTACATCGGCTGTGCTCTATCTATTGCCTCACTGATCGCTGCAATGTCGACAATCGCATGTTTCCGGTACGTTATCACTATTGTGAATATATTCTCTGGCAGACCACGACTGCATGTACCAACCGGTTGGTCACGGTGTGTGTTTATGTTAGTATGTAGGACCCATAGCCGTAAGTGGTTTCAGGGGCTTCAACAAAGGGAAAACACAATCAAGAATGAGACACTTCAATTCCGTTTTTTCATGAACAATGCCAGCAAGAGCATGTGGGGGAGAGGGGGGGGGGGGGAAGGTCGATATTCCAAAACATGTTGTAGATTGGTACAAATGAATTTATCGTAATGGCGTAGACTGACTGAAAGGGTGAAGAGCCCTGCATGATGATTCTGTGTAGAGTTGGGCATGCATGGATGTGGCGAATGGGATTGTCGGGCTTTTACCTCTTTGTGGTGGGTCTGATCTACTCACCTCCCACAGCTTAGGAGCTGCATCTGCGCCTTGATCCAAGAGGGTGGTGGCGTCCCTGCAGACGCGGACAACTCGGCCTTTGGCCGAGTCTCATGAGAACTGTGAGAAACAATTTGACCACGCATGTAGACCTTATTGTCTTCCAATGTGTCAAGTGTTCAACAACTGCTCTTGATAATATCTGTATTTAAGGTGCTTCTGTCTGTTTGTCTTTCCGTCTGCTAGTCCGGTTGTCTTCCTATACACATGCGCCCTTGCATGTGTGTGTGTGTGTATGTGTGAGTGTGTGCGTATGTGTATGTGTATGTGTGTGCATGTGTGTGTGTGTGTGTGTGTTTGTGCATGGTCTCATCGCACTAGCGATGGGCGCCCAAGGTCCGAAGTCGGTCCGTCTGTTTATACGTCTATTTTGTGACTGCGTACGCGCAAGTGTGCCATGTGTGTCCAGTTGCGTACACGTCTCTGTGTCCATATATCTCTTCATGTTCTTATGCATTTTTCCATCTGTATCCCTATCTCTCTGTGAATGGTGACAACATTGATCTCCCATCACTATTAAAATTTTGTTTTCAGGTCAATACGTAATCGTCGTCACCACCGTATCGTCTTCTGCCTGAGTACCAGCTTGCTGCTAGCGCTGTTACTGTTCACATTGGGAGTACGTGCAACGGCCAACAGAGCAGCATGCACAGCCATTGCCATGTTGCTGCACTTCCTGTTTCTGCTGGCATTTGCGCTGACCTCGTTGGATGCCTTCTTGCTGTACAAACAACTGGTGAATCTGCTAACTGCTGTCAACCAGTCCACGGTGAAAGTAGCGTATGTGGTGACTGCAGGTAAGTCAAAAGCATGGCAAGAAATTTGGAACTTTTTCTGTTTATCACTCTCTTGATAGTTGAGACACATATTTCCAACTCACTGTAAGTCGTAGCACGGTCGAAAAAAAAACTCAATCACTTCCAAAAAAAATCGACGAGTTCGCGTACTGGGCAGGTCAAGAACAAGGAGTCGTACAACTCCCTGGTCAAGAACCACCTTTTCGCTTCGTGGGACGCCACCACCCCATAATCAGTCGTCAGAATCACTTCCAAGCAGAACTTACAGTCTGTTTCAAAAAGATTTGCAATCCTGGTGATCGCCCGGGGAGTTTGCCGTCTTACCGTATGAGCCCTCGAGCGCTGCCTGGAAAAACTCACTGTGAACTCGAAGAAATATTCCGCGCGAATGCATGAAAAATGACAACTCACTCACGTCGGTACACGTACGTCTGATTTACAACAAACGAGTTCTTCCTCGTATTGATATGGAGTCAGAGAGGACATGTCGAAGGTGTGGTAAATGTTGACGAGCGGGATGGGTCCCAATTCGTTTTGTGCTCAAATAAACTATTTGAGCTGTGATGCAATTTACTCTCACCATGTGACGAAAACGACATCGACACAGACTCATTCCCAAGGCTATGATTTGGCAAAGCTATCCGTGTGACTTCGACAACATCTTGAGAAAAGCAGGCGCCTGTGAAAGCTGATAGAAGCCGGCGTTGACTCCTAAATTCAAATATATTGGCGATCTTGAAATATTAAAATAACTCTCAAAAATAAATCGATGGATCGATGTGCTGGTGTATTCAACAACACGTAGCTACAGCGCAATGACTTCCATGTTCACCCACACTGTTTCAGTGTTGTGGGTGTGTTCAGAATCACATGGCGTGATCCAGTCAAGTGTCAGTCAGTTCGGCAGGAAATGCAAGCTCCAACAAGTCGTTTGGCGCAGCCACCTTCTTTTATTAAATTTTGTCTTGTAGATCACCAAAACAATGAAAAAACCGTTTGACTCGAAGATAGTTTAGGATTTGAGCTCACAACTTTATGGTCAGCAGACAGCATTCATAACCACAAGGCCAAAAAGGAAAGGATAAATCGTGGTTTTTTTAATCAAAAATCGATAATGGTTTCCAGGGCAAATTGTAAACCCTGGGAAAGGCCGGAAACCTTTCCGATATTCTAACTCCTTAACGGCTAGTCCAATTATTCCAAGGCCTACACAGCACAATTTGCCGTGTCCTAACAAGCCATTCTTTGTACTTTGTTGTCCAAATTTCCCTTATCTTCATACTTTTTAAGACCAAAACCTGATTGTAAATCTTTTTGAAATGTACTATAAAACCCAATGTTTCTTTCACACTGTCTAAGACAAACCTGACGTGGATGCCTACTAGAAACAAAGTGGCGGTGGATTTTTTGCTTTTCGGCCTTCTGGAAAGGACGCATTGTCAAACTCGTGACTTCAAATTTAGCTGTGGAACAAAAAATTTGCGTCTCACCCCATATGTGCAAGTGCCACACTTTCTTGATCTGGACATGGATTTCCAGTGTTTAACGGTGTAAAAGTGATGGACTGAAGTTGCATTGTATTTGCTGTAAAACGTTATTCTAACATATAAGACTTTAAAAAAGGTTTCTCTCAAAAATATCACCTCAAGTGCGCGCATTTTCCAAAGGTTATTGTTGATTTCAATGTGTGTTTTTCTAGGTATGCCACTATTCATTGTTGCAATCTCAGGAGGAATTGGAAGCTTCGACGTGTATGGCAGCGGAAAATAGTAAGACGATGATGTGAATTCCGTTGGCGTATCTCTCTCTCGCTTTATATCTTTCTCTCCCTCCATATCTGTCTCTCTGTCTCTCTTTGTGTCTGGCTGTCTTTATCTCTCTCTCTCAGCATCTCTCTCAGTCTCCCTCTCTCTTTCTTCTAGTGGCACAACTTTGGACTTGCGTATTGTCTATGCTGGGCTTTCCATGCAAGATAAGTCAGATGACACTGGCGATGCAAACCAAAACACATACAAAACAGTGTTGCCAACCGCCGCCCGTATTTGTCCATGTTCTTACGGAAAAACGAAGTTTTATCCACAGTACAGATTTCAATCGAATATCCCGCAAACGTTCACGTGCGTGTATAATCGATTACTAAAACCTTCGTAGCTCCATAGTTTCTTGTGGAAATGCAACAATCGAAGGGTCTACGTTGTAGCAACAAATCCAAGCTGTCCAATGCAATCACTGAAGAGATACGATGTCGGACTTCAGAGATATTGCGCTCCGTATTCAGGTATTCTTACCACGGAAAATCAAATGTTTGATCGATCTCTTCGCCATTTTGGGGCGAAATCTCTTTTTGTGTGCTCTTTGAGCAACCGAGCACTTTATAATGATGTAGCCGACTGAGATTTGAATCGCCCAGAAAAAAGTTGAGTGTTCTGCGATGAAGGAAAGTGGAATGGTGTTGATGGGGCGAATTTGTTTGCATATTAGGCTTAGAGACGATTTTGCTGTGCTACCGCGCCTGATTTGTGCCGGCTTCATAATGGAGCTTGGCATCCTAGCGTTGCTCCTGCCAAGCGCTTTCCAACGAGCCCTAAATTGTGAAAATCAAGCAAAGTAGACCAAAGTAATGACCTGGCGAAGTTGAAAATTGTATTCGTAGGCTTCACAAGACGTGAAGCCTGTAGCTGGAAAGGTTGTACAGTATCGTTTTTTCCAAATTTCACTAAATCAGTCAAAAATTTGTCCTGAAGAGAAAAACAACGCCGCAAATCTCTGAAAATTTCTGCAAAATGGCACGGGGCAGTACGCATCGGGGTAGAGGGCACTTGGTAACACTGTACAATGGTACACACATAACACGCAGTAACACACCACTTAGGATCCTGAACTGTGATGTTTGTTCGTGTTTCTGATTCCTGCAGTTGTTGGATTGCCAACGATACTGTGTTCTACGTAGCGTTCATCTCTCCGATGTGTGTCTGCCTGCTCTCAAATATAGCAGTAATCGTACGAGTAGTAGTCTTGTTGCGTCATCACAGAAGCAGTGCGATAACAGGAAAGGCAAAAGACACGTCCAGTGTGTCGTATCTACTTCGAGTCGTCGTTGCATTGTCAGTTCTGCTAGGAATTTCCTGGCTGTTTGGTGCCCTGGTAGCCGTCTATGATCACCTCGCTCTTCAGTTCATCTTTGCCATCACCAACACTCTGCAGGGACTGGGAATCTTTCTACACGTGTCACGTGACGTAGACGTGCGTACCACCTGGCGAGCATCCATTGCATCAGTGCTGCTGCATTTCCCCAGGCTCACAAGCACTTCCCAGCGCTCGACCAACGTAACAGGCAGCGCAGGATCTATACCGAACGCCTCGACCCAACGGCCGGGCAGCAGAAGTGAAAGGAACCCCACCGTTGAAAATCCTGCTGCAGAGGGAAGAAACCTGGAGGATCGACAGCTTTCGGAAGAGGATAGGCAACTGAGTAGTCAGCAATTATCCAGCATCACCAGTCTAACTCCTTTGGTTGGAATTTCTGATACAGGGTCCCAACAAACCTCTACATTCCGTCTCAGAAGCACAGGCGAAATGCTGGAACTCTCAGAAACCCAGGAAGAAGGAAGTATGGATCAGAGAGAAGAAGATGAAGAAGAAGACATTGTGTAACGCTGAGATGATACATTTCCATCACCGATTCTTCTCTGCTACCTCTGCATTCGTGTGTGTGTGTGGGGGGGGGGGTTGTGTACAGAATATTATGTGTATGTATGTGTGTGTACATGCACACGCGTCCGGGTATACATGTGTGTGTGTGTGTGCATGTGTGCGTATGTGTGTATGCATGTCTATAATTGTGTCTATCTCTGTCTGTTTATGTGTGTGTGCGCGTGTGCGTGTGCGTGTGTGTGTCTCTCTCTCTCTCTATTTATATATATCGCTCTCTCCCCACCCCTTTATCTTTGATTCTGTTCTTTCTGTTTCTCTTTTTTGCGGAGGCTGATGCCCCACAAAAAACCGCGATCCTTCTTACTTCATGTCCGCTTTGCTAGCCTCGGATGACTTTCCTGTGTAACGATTGCTTTCTGTAATGTCGCGTATAAAGGCAGATGCTTACAGCCGTATAAACCGATGTCAGTGCTAGGCTTCTATTCAAGTTAGGCTTCCACTCCAACCTCGTATTTCTATGTATGTCAACACTAAACCAGGAGTATGTGCTGACAGTGTATCTTAAACATCAGGCTTGTGTTCTAAAACAAGCTTCTATACAAGACAGGCTTTTATACAAGACAGGCGGCTATACAAGACACTACATTATGTAAAACGTTATGGACTACCGCAGATGCTGTTAGCTTTGTTTATCCAGTGGAACTCGCCTAGTACGTACATGTACAGTAAAACCTGGTGTAAGCGACCTCTGTGTTTAGCGACCTCTGTGTTTAGCGACCTCTGTGTTTAGCGACCTCTGTGTTTAGCGACCACCTGCTTTTAATGTCGTCTTTCCATGCACGGACAGTTCTATACAGCAACTGCACTGGATACAGCGACCATTTTAATCTGATAAGAAAATCATTAATTTTGAAAGTAAATACCGGCACATATTGTACACTTTCCAGTGTACAACTTTACCCCTACTCAATCTGTCTATCGGCTAGTTCTTTGCGTAAAGAGCACAATCATCAATATAATTATCGCTTTGGTCGAGTGGTTGTGGGCCTGTTTGCGAATCACAAGGTCCCGAGTTCGTGACCCCGTCTGGGAGCAGGAAGCGTGTACTGTGCTAACAAATGCGGTGATGCATGCGTGAACCACTTTACATGCAATGAACTGCGCCGGCACCCATGGTCAACTGGGTAGATCTACTCACTGCTCGGAGTGAGGGTAACATGGATGGAGCTAACAAGGTTCGCAGCCTTGTTGGGCATTGGTTGTGAGAGTTACCAACTCACCCTCACTGCTGCATCTGCCACCTTGGTATACCAGGCATTTGGTGGCCTGACGCCAGCGAAAAACTTCCTGAGCTGTTTGTGTTCTTCAAAACATTTGAGTCAGAAAGTGGTAACGGGCTTGTGTGAACTTTATTTAATATTTTTATAATAAGAGGACCTAGGACGCCACCGGAGTCTAATTATAGCAAGGGATTGAAGTAAACAATAACGAACACAAACATGTACTAACTAATGGGACATGCAATGTTCTAACGCTCGTTTTACGTAAGGTCACAGTTGTCCGTATTATAAACAAGAAAACTCCCCTGGGACGATTTCGTAGAATTTTTTCTCGTTTTCCCACGTGGTGCCACAGCCATTTGGGGCGTTTCACATTGGAGTCATGCCGAGTGTAAACAGAATCAACGAGAGAGCTTGGAAGCTCAGGGCCCTACGCTATGCTTTTTTGCCTTGATGACCTAGACAAAAAAAAGCATAGGGATGTTATAAATTCTTTAAAAAAATCCTTTATTTTAGACATAACCTGGGATTCGAACCCGCACTATCGCGCGCCCTGCATGCATCCCCCGATAAACTTCGCATACATACTAATTCTTCCAAGTTGCTTCACGTTATGATCTTGCATTTGAAAGCCCTATTTGAATATGCATTTTGGCCAGCCGTCTTTGATGATACGGTACGGTACGGGATAGGTACGGGAAAGGTACGATCGTGGGTAATACGACACCGTCTACCGCCTTGATAGTAGTAGTAGTAGTAGTACTGTAGTAGTATTTATTATTTGACTAGGGGAGTCCCAACAGGCATGGCCTTGTTACAGGGAACCCTAGGTGAATCTTTGTGAGTTGAGCAAAAGTACCAGCAGATTGTGCCTGACGACAGTTTGGAGGAAGAGTGTTCCACCGACCTGCAGCCAGAAAAGAAACTGAGTGCAGTCCATACCCAATATATGTACGCATTAGGTAATACTAAGGCAGCTGTATCCTGGCCACGAGATTGATGTCGGCAAAAAGCATAGGGATATTATAAATTTTTCAATTCTCCTATTTTTTTTCAGGCATATCCTGGGATTCGAACCCGCACTATCGCCCTTCATGCATTCCCCATACACTTCGCATTCATACCCAATCTTCCAAGTTGCTTCACGTTATGATCTTGCGTTTGAAAGCCCTATTTGAATATTGCGGCCAGCTGTATGTGGCCAGCTGTGTTTGATGGTACGGTACGGTACGGGACAGATACGGGATAGCGCCAGGCGTGACACAAACACACAAACAAACAAACACACAAATACCAAATTAAAGCTGTGTGGACCCTGGCTAACGCCAGACGTTACTGAAGTAACGTCTTCTGCATAGCTACGGGAATTAAAGACGGATTATAGCCGTGAAAACATGCTTGCTTACAAGAATTTCAGGTGTTGGTAGGATTAGCTGTCTTCAGAGACGAGCAGATCACCACACGCGCCTTATCCCTATAATAACCACATGCAAACCGCAGGACATTGAGAGCTCGTACGGACCGGCGACACAGCAATACCCATTGCTGAGACCCATACCAGCATTGGATTTCTCGTCATCGTGGTCAAGGCTGTCGGAGCCATACCCAATGCGGGAACCGCGGAAGCTACCGTCAAGTTGCACTTCCTCGCTGGCCGAAGTCTAACAAGAACACTTCTCTTCCAGACAGAATTGAGAAATAGCGATGCACAGGTAGCTGGCTTCCTTGCCAAACCTCGTATCCTCAACACTTATAACCACGTGTTCCAAATACGCTTTCTCTTCCAGGAAGAATTGAACAATAGCGGGGTTGCTCACTTCCTTGCCAAGCCTCGCGTCCTCACCACTAAGTACAACTTGTTACTACCTCCTGTTAGTAAGGCTTCTCAGAAGACGTTCCGTTACTCGCCCACTCGAACTAAAAAGCAGTACTACTGAAGGGCATAATTACGGCTTATCACATGGCACGTGATTGTTGCCCGTACTCCAGCGAATCAGCACCTTTCGCGCCGCGGGCAATAATATGCGATATTGCCCGCAAAAAAATAGTTTATTTGCCCGCAAAAAAATTGTTTATTTCAGTGATCGCGTGACTACGCTCGTACGACGACTCTGTAGACTGTACGACTCTACGACGAGTCGCAGTGTAGCATTGAGACGAAGATGGAATTCTTTTTGGAGATGGACATCCCGGCATGCCGGCAATGGACATGGCCTCGGACGTCTGCCGTGTGGTGCTTGCAGGGATCATTTGTTCAGTCATGTTGGCAGCCTGACCGTCGGTAAGCTTGTGGATAAGATTCAGTTCTGCTCGAAGTGGTACTGTGATCACAAACAATTATTTGAAATAACACAAATTCAACTCAGCATCGTGCGTTTTCAAATCCTCGCAAAGTCACTGCCTGTGTGTACGTGTGGTCTTCATGTGCCACGCAAAACTCTTACCAGGCTCATCTCACCTTTGCTTGAACAACAAACACAACAATTCAGGAGTGTTTTTCAATGAAAAATACAGCTATCTGGAGCTGAAAAGAAGAAGAAAAATTGTCCTCAGAATTACACACCAGGGAGTCGTCAAATACTTGCACTTGTTGCAGTACTGTATTTGACAACTTCCTGATACACATGTAAACATGAAGAAACTCTTTGTGGTAGCACTCTTAATTTTTCAATTGAAATTATGATTCTGCTGTATTTTATTGTCGTTGCCATGTCTATTGCTATGACGATGCGGTGCCGGCACTTCTTTCTGTCTCCGTCTTTCAGTACTGTATACTCTCTGATGGCCTGTAGAAGACTTTTTGTTAGGGTGTAGGAGAAATATCTTCATTTTTCCTGTTTTGATAATGATAGCACATTAATATACATTGTGGTCATAATGTGTTGGCATTTGGGCTAATTTCAACAGCAGCCCAATGGTCTGCTCTGTGGGCCATGTGATAAATTTTTTATCGCATGGTTGCTGCGGGCCTTATGGCATATTATTGCCCCTCGAGGTTAGCCCTTGGGCCTACGGCCCTCGGGCTAACCTCTCGGGGCAATAATATGCCATAAGGCCCTTGCAACCATGCGATAACATATACTTATTCGTGCTGTGTGCACCAGTTGCATCCTTTTACGTTAAGCAGGTAGATCTACACTTCATAAAACCAGGTAAGTAAGTTGTACTCGCTAGTACAAGAGATCAGCAGGACCCATCTGACAGTGTAGTGTCAAACCTGCAGCTTCTAATAAGCACTGACATAAGACTGTCTGTTTGATATTGCATGGACGGCGTACGGCTAAATGGAAGACGAGAACTACTATGTGGCTCACGGGCGGAGACAAACAGATGGTCATCAATGGCAAATGTACGGTCAATGGTCAATGGGCAGAATTCATGTTCATGAGACATAAGACATTGCGTACTACGTAAGAGCGGATGAAAATTTAAAGACCGTGCTGCTCCCGAAATATTGTGTATAATTAATATGTTTCCGCGGAGATAAGAATGATATCAACGCAATGGAAGAATATTATTATAAGATTTGAACGTCGTTTTCATAAACACTGACGAAAAACGCGACATTGTGGGAATACATATATGACCAGCAGGGCGATTTCGTGCTCGTTGCTAAGTCGAGTGTCTCCTAGTGTACCTAGTGAGCGATGATCAGAATAATAGTAATAACGTTATTAGCCCTTGGTTATGTGTAAACGGCGTCCTGGGAACGATAATCCTGCTCATTCAGTGTGCTACGTATTGCTTTAGCGTCGAACGAAGCGAATGTGGGAGTACATGTAAAATGAATAATTATTGTGCATTTCGTTTTGTATGAAGGTGAAATGACACACGCTTTGTTTTATTAGACGAGGGGGGGGGGGAGAGCCAAGGATTTATTTATCAAAAGAAAAGTGGACCAGGGAGCTACATGTTACGCAATACTATCCACTAGCACCACCAGTTACTTGACAAATAGCTCATGCCATACCATTGTAGGACACTAAGCAACGGTACAGACGTTCTACACCTTACTGGCAATCAGGTCTAGCGCATCTTGACTTTCAGCTCGTGCTTGTCCTGCTTGTGCCCACCTTCTCGTCTTCATGTAATTTCTAACGTTATAACTTAGAACCTTCCAAGTTGTAAGGATGTTGGAGTGCGCATCGCAGATATGCTAGAGCTGAGCTGATTGCCAGCACAGTTGCTCAGTGTCGTGCAAGGTTATCGCGTGAGTGATTGTAAAGTAACTGCAGTGATGTATGTGGATATTATAGCATAACGTGTAGCTCTTTGACTCTGGTGTACTCTGGTATAGTTATCAGTACTGTGAACTCCAAGCACTGACAAATCTCTGCACGTATTTGAGTATATCAGATGCGTGGAATCTTTCAAGTTCATAAACAAAACCTCCGTGCATGAGCAAGCTATCCAATCAATCCCTTTGCTGTCAAAACAAATAGGAATCACATCCTTGTGACTCAGCTGTTAGTGTTCCTACCAAGACCGTCAGACGGGGTCAGCTGATATCCACTTCTAAAATCACGTATCGCCATACCTGCAACTGCCATGTTCATTGATGCTAGATATTTCGGAACTAAGAAACCGGACAAAAAGGCAATATAGGACGGCCCGCGGATGTTAATAATCTTGAGAAACGTGACGATATTGGCAGATGTCGTCTGCTGATTGCAATTGGGCAGTTGTTCATGACTTCCTCAGCAACAAAAAACAATTGTCAAATACAATAGACAATATCGGCCACTGGTTCTGCACATCAACGTGTTTACATGTACACCTACATGCTAGTACACATGAGAGTGTCTGTGTACGTTGTAAGTGCCTGTGTGTGCGTATGGTTGTGCGTTCAAGTAGGTGTGTGTATGTGTGTGTTTTCGTGTGTATGGTACGTGTAAGTGTTAGTGTATGTGTTTTTGTATACCGTTGGTATGTGTTTGTGGGTGTGACTGCCCAAGTCAGGTAACGTGTTTGAATGTAGTGTTGATGGTGAAGGCAAGTATAGTGAAATTAGTAATAAAAGCTAAGTGGCAGATTCAAATGAGCTTAGCCGGCCAGTGCTAGTTTCTGCAGACCTCTGTGAGACATTCTCTGCATACCTCTTTGAGACATTCGCGCCGACTAAATTTGTCTTGAAAGTGGGGGAGGGAGCTGGGAGTGTTGTGGATAAAGCTGTCGACTATTGTCCTTGAAGTGAATGCGCCACTAACAATTTGTTTCAAGCCCAAGCAATGACAACTGGCAGGCGAAGGATGTTCCTTTTTTTGCTGTTGATGCTGGCAATCTCCTCTCATCGGGCAAGCTCACAATGTGACACTCTCCGGTGTACCTGTGAGGCAACAGGGGGAGTTACCTGCAATGGTCTTCCGGCATCGTTTCCTGTTAATATACATAAAATGTAAGTATGATTAACTGGTGGCTATTGATTATAAAATAATACTCTATAGTATGTATGTCAGTAGTAATGACTGCAGCATTGCACATGTATTCGAGCTGATTGAATGTTGCTGTTATAATTATTTTGATAACCGCAACAATAAGACAAGCTGAATCGGCATTTGTGTATACTTGATTCATGCAATAGCCCTTGGCGGATTATGCCGGCATAATATTTGGCATAATCTTGGGATTTCGTCAAAAAATTATGCTCCGGCATAATATTATACGGATTCCAACGTGTAAAGTCGGCATAATTTTTCGGTTTAGACAAAAATTATGCTTAGGCCGTGTGTGTATGCGTAGTTTCTCAATCCTCTATGTAAAGCGTGAATACATAGTGGAACCGAGCATAATTCAGCATATTTGTTGGCATAATTGTGGCATAATCAAAAGCATAATTTGACGATTGGCCGAGCATAGTCCGCCAAAGGCTATCATGCAATGTAAAACGGTGGAGACAATGTGCAATAAAACGATAAAAATATGAAGAAAATTTGTAGAGAGACAACTTAGGATTCAAACCAAGTTTTCGTACAACACTCAATACGCACAGAGCGATCCCCTCGAAACTACACAGTGACACCAGTCCCGGCGATGCATAAGAGCTGAACGCAGAGTTAGATGCGCTTAAAACTATGCGGCGGAAGAGGCAGTTTGGGTGATGCTTCTGAAAGCGGCGGGTCTGCCAACTGAGGGCATTCACGATGAGCTGGACGAGCTCCAGAGAAAGCACGACGACGTGTTGGAGCGGGTAAGCGAAGTGCTCGCCGAGGTCTGCTCAGCACAGCCCAGTCGGGGAGGGAGATCTCCACTGACTCAAGCGGGCAGGGAGCGATCCACGGTCACGCAGGAAGTACGGAAGATGTTGAAAAGTTCAGTGATCGTTGCTGACGCTGATGATGTGATTAAAAGAAGTGCACTAGAAAAAGAAGAAAAGGATAAATGTAAGCATACTGTACCGGAGCGGGAGTCGTACCAGGGACGTGTGAAGCAGCGCTCTTGCTGAGCAGTCTAACTGCCTCACCTACAATGAGTACGAGTACTAAGAGTGTGATTCTTGCCAGTTCTGTTACTGCTGCCAGTTCTGCTACTGCTGCCAGTTCTGTTACTGCTGTGACAGCCAGCCGGAGTTTGGTGTCTGCTGGCAGTGCTGCTGTAACGTCGGAATTCCGGTATTGCTGGCAATGCTGCAACTGCAGCTATGAGGACGATTCCTGGAATGGTCACTATAGCTATCGGATTTGTCATCAACCACCACACCTTAACCTGCGCTTCCCATCCGTTTGGCACTGAATTCCTTCAAGCAGCTGTTTTGAGTATAAACTCTCTTCAATAAAGGTAGATATTGTAGAATGGGTAAGATAGTGAAAGGTTGAAAGGGTAAGCGTATTGCGCGGGAGGAGGCGCGAACATTAGGGCAAAGCAGAAAGATACGAGTGCAAAAGACGCGGCAAAAATTAACTTGTGAAAATGTGAAAACGTAATATTGGGAACCAGGTGTGAATTGAGGCAGACAGTACAGCTTAGCAAGTAGCCAAGCTGGCGGCTCCTGGGGCATTCTACTATCAATGATCTTCCTGCGGTGACCACCCCGACCCACGAGCCATTAAGGCACGTTCATTTCCGAGAAGCTTCAGTCCGGCGGCATCTTGCAAGGCTAGTCCCATCCAAGGCATCTGGACCTGACAGCATTCCATCTCGGGTATTGAAAGGGTGCTCTAAGGAACTTGCTGCTCCCTTCACGAAACTGTTCCGTGTTAGCGTGTTAGCTTTCGTGCCAGTGTTGTACCTTCCCAATGGAAGCTCGCTCACGTTGTCCCGGTATACAAGAAGCCACCTCGATCTAGGCCATCCAACTACCGGCCTATGTCCTTGCTCTCTATTTTATCCAAGGTCATGGAGTGTATTATAAACCAACAAGTCACCAATTTCCAGGAGCGCAACGACCTGCTGCCTGACAGCCAGTTTGGTTTTAGACGTGGCCGTGGCACAGCTGACCTCCTCACAGCACTCCAGAGCGAATGGGCGCAGGTTGTAGCTGAGGGGGGCTGTGTATATATAATAAAAAAATTCACTCGGTGTACTCATTCACCACACAGTACCTCACCATCGTCATGATCACATCACAGGCATTCTTTGTTCAATGATACAGTAGCTTAGCAATGAAGTGTTAAAAAACAGTTTTGAAAAAGTCTTCCAAATTCACACCTGGTAAAAGTATCACATTTTTACTTATCACCAGTTTATTGCTTCACACTGTTTTGCACTTGTATCTCTTGCTTATCACTAGTCTTCGCGCCTCATGCGCGCACATTTGTCTTGCCCCATTCAGTACATCATTGCGCTTTTCACTATCTCAGCCTTTCTATAATATCTACCTTCGCTGACGAGAGTTTCATACACGAAACAGCTGGATGAGGGAATCCACTACCAAGGGATGTGTCGCTTGGCTGGTGGTGTGCTGTGGCAACGTCGTTGGACGGTGGACTGGAGAGCGGAATTGTGGTGTGGTGGGTGATATAATAATCTGTACAGGGCCGAGTGCTACCGCTTTTACCCCTTTATCTAGCCCTCATCAGGTTTACCTCATGCTACATTTCGGAGAGGGAAATCGGACCAACGACCATGTGAGTGTTAATAGCATGCAGATCACAGTCATGACCAAAACGTCCGTCGTACAGTCCACATTGGGTTAAGCTTGTTTTGTGTACCTTTGTATTGTGTTCAATGAGTCATCAACAGTGCATGTAGTTGTACTGTCAATGACGTATACTGCGGATTCTTGATATACACCATCACTTCTGCTATTCTTGTTAACAGGGACCTGAGCTATACTAATGTAACATCTTTACCGAAGAGAGCATTTGCAGATCTCTTCAGCCTTCGGAATTTGTGAGTACACATTTTGGAAGAACAATGTCCCGTGCAACTACATTTATTTCATTGTAGCGCAATGGCAGAGTGGAGACAAATTGAGTGTAGAAGTTGAAAGGGGTAGGGCCTAGGACTGAACCCCGAGGAACGTCCCTAGTGCAGGTTCTACAGTCACTTGCGGTTCCGTTCACTTCTACACGTTGATGTCGGTGAAACAGATATTATGACTTGAACTACTCAAGAGCATTTCCACAGATCTTCAGATTGTTAAGGTCATCATCATTGTCTATTAGCGTTTGGTGGTTCGCTCAAAGGCTTTGCTCATATCGAGCCGCAGTAGGTAGGTAGGTACATTTTTATTTGAATTCGCAGAACCAAACGGGCGGTGTCGCCCAATTACATGGAAGCGAATGGAAACAGTAAAATATTGTAGGAAATAGCCTAACATGATAGCAGGGTGTAGTACAAAGCAAAGAACGCTCAGTCAATGAATAACGTTAACGTTAGAATACAACAACGGGGAGGCGGTAAACAGCACATGACTGGTACTGTGCAAACGTTCAAAGATTCCTGTAGTGTTCAGTAGTGGGTGCTACTGCTAGCAAGACAGAACGGGAGGCAGGCTTGTTTGAACTGGTGGTACTGGGTAATACCACGCACGTCGGATGGCAGGGTGTTCCATAAAATGGACCCGCGAGCGGTTGGACGGTCGTGGCCGGCTTTGGAGGCAGATTTGGGCACTCGAAGGCCCAAGCTGCGTTGTGCGCGCGTTGTTCGAGTACTGGGATGCTCCAGAAGGGCTTGCAGTGCATTGCTTGCCCGACCATTCGAGCAACGCCAGATCATAATAAGGGTCTTTTGCTTGTGGAGCTCTTCGATGCCATACAGCTGCAGACGAGCAAGCAGAGGTTGGGCGCTTGTGCGAGGTGGCAGGCCGAATACGGCGCGTGCCGCACGGTTTTGCTGGACCTGAAGGCGGGACCGCTGGTCTTGTCGAAGGCACCCAGAGAACGCCACGGACCCGTAGAGCAAATCTGGCATCACAACGGATTTCACGTACTGCTCTCTGGACTTTCTTGTAAGGCAACGGCGGGCTCTCCAGAGTGCTCCCACCTTCTGCGAGGCCTTCTTCACAACATTGTTAACGTGTTCGTCAAATCGAACGTGCTCGTCTATCGTGATGCCCAGGTACTTCGCATGGGGAACTGCTGGTAGCGGGTTTCCACGGCATTTGACAGTAATGTCTTGGCCGGAAATTCGCAGGACATGGCTTTTGCTAGTGTTCAGGATTAGATTCCGTTCCTGGAGGTGGTTAGCAATCTCGGTTGTAGACGTTGTTAGAACTCGCGATACTTCCTGGCAATCAGGGTGGCTGAACGTGAGAGCAATATCGTCAGCAAACTGCACTGAGATGGACGGACTGGCAATGGTGGGCACATGCCTGGTGTAGATGTTGAAAAGCACGGGTCCGAGAACGGAACCCTGCGGGACGCCACATGAGCATGTGCCACTGACACCAATGGATCCAGCGATTTGCACTTGTTGGGTGCGTCCTTCGAGGTAGTCTGCAAACCATTGGAGTGCAGTGCCGTGAAGGCCAACTTCGAAAAGATCGCGTACAAGAATGTCATGCTTGACTTTGTCGAAAGCCTTCGACATGTCCAGCAAACACACACCACTGGCTAGTCGCGCGTCCTTTGCATGGAGAATGTTCTCCGTCAGGAGTACCAAAGCGTCTTCAGTGCAGTGGTTTGTGCGGTATGCAAATTGCGTGGTCGGCAGCACGTCGTTTGCCGCGAGGAACCTTGTAAGCTGGCGATGTACTACCTTTTCAAGCAGCTTCGCAACAATTGGTAATAATGACACAGGTCTGTAGTTAGTGGCGACTGTTGGGTCCCCTGCTTTGTAAAGCGGCTTTACCAGGGCGTGTTTGAACGGCTTCGGTAGGCGACCGGAATGCAAGGAGGCATTGAAGAGGTCGCATAAGTGCGGGGCAACAATATCACTGCAGGCTCGCAGCAGACGGCCAGGGATCTCGTCACTGCCTGTAGCCTTGTCAGGATCGATTGTGGCGAGTAATCGCTGTACTGCGGGACAGGTCATTGGCGTGAGAGCTGATAGTGAGTTGCGGGTGCAGGGACCATGGGGTATCTGTAGGGTGTCCGGACGACTTGGATCAGTGACAATACTATTGAAGGAGCTGCTCACTGCAGAAACATCGCACACTGGGTCCTGCCTTGCCTTGGAGCGGCCGGTTACCGCGTTCAAGGTTGACCACATTCTCCTTGGATCATGAGAGTGCTGCTCACATTGAGTACGCCCGTATAGTCTCCGGTATCCATACTTATCTGCCAGTTATTGATGGCAAGTGTTAGAAGGTCCTCAGTACTGTGATCCCCGCCTGTATGCAAACTGTTCATTGGGAATTGCCCCGGGTGTGCTGTCCAGATGGTCGTGAAGGTGCTGGACCACTAGCGATTCCAAGACTTTGGAGACAATGGGCAGAAGCCAGACTAGGCGGTAAAGAGGCATAGCCATGACCGAAAAATCTAAATCATAAATTCTGTTACTCTTGTTCACAGGGACCTGAGCAGCAATGCTTTAACATCTTTACCGGAGGGAGCATTCTCAGATCTCGTTAACCTTCAGTACTTGTAAGTACATCATTCGGAGAAATTAAGAACCATTTCCTGCGCACTTCAGAGTTCTTTGAGTATGATTGACATTCCGCTCTTCTTCAGTTGCTTATCAATCTGCAGAACATCGTGGGTCTAATGTCTGCTCAGGCAGGCCTTCATGTCTTACTGTAATTTCAAGTAATTTGGCTGCTTGCTGATTCCCACGCGCGTTAGGATTAGATGACTTTATTACATTGACCATCAGCAGAAGTTAACACAAGCACCTAGTTTAGTGCATCGTTCTGGTTCTTGAGCTGGCTAGTACAGCAATCAGGAAATGCTTTATACCCAGAACGACTGGTTTGATGGTGTTATCCCTTATAGATTAGAATACCCTGTTTATAGAAGCTTTGGCAGCACCTCAGAGGTGCATAAGGAACGCCCGGCGAGCAGAAAACTCTTCATATCCACCTCCAAGGCCGCAAGCGCTTGAAGCCCACAACTAATACCTAGATGATAGCGGATCGTTTCTGCATTGAAAGTCACTCCAGCAGTATAGCATGTTTAAAATCACCATCCTGCTATGTCGATTTAATTAAACCCCTCATCTCCTAGTCAACTTCGTGCTAGTTTTTGTTTGGCAGATAGTATCAGCTATTCCTGAGTTGTCTCAACGCCAGCCGCTATGTAGAGACCGAAATAACTGGTCCTCAGCTTGGAGTAGTCTTTGCTTGGCCTCATGAACTTCAGGAAATTCACTGTTGCGGCGACGAACTATTCTAACCACCCACGCAACAAAATTATTTCAACTAAGCGCGAACTGTCGTTTTTTGAAGTTGTGAATTATGTGCAAGCGCTCGCAGTTCAGCTCTTGTCTACACAGCCTAACACAACTGATAATCCTGTACAGCTTCGCGAAGCGACAAAGGAGGAACCACCTGATGTCGAGCTGCGTTGGGACTTCAGGAACGACTGGCATCTGCAGGGATCGGGTTTAGCTGATCTAGCTCGGCTCAACTGCATGTCCTTTGCAATTTGTTCAATGTGTCATCACCGGTAGTTGTCATGCCAATCACATTATACCGTTTGCAATGGGACCTTAATTAATGAACACCATCCTGTCTCCCGTTCATGCTAACAGGTATTTGACAATAAATTCTTTAACGTCTTTACCGGAGGGAGCATTTGCAAATCTCTTCAGCCTTCGAGACTTGTGAGTTCATATTATGGATAAATGAAGAACAATCTCCTGTGCTAACTATTACCGTATTTCCGCGCATATATAGCCATGGCGATATATCCGAATAAAAGGCCACCCTCACTTATAAAGCCATGGCGTTATAAGCGAACAAAATTCAATGTGGAGGAAGTTGCATCTGGCGTTAAAGGTGAGTTCAATTCTTTCAGTGAACGTACAGTAGCGGTGATTCTCTCGGCATGTACCCATCCCCCTGGCACATGCTATACCGCCACCGCACCTTCACACAAGTTTCCATGCCACCTATCCTTGTACACAATAGGTTCACATTTTGAAATTTTCAGGGAAAATTGAAAGTACATGGATGCTCGACATGAACGTGCAACGGCACCGTACGAGTACTCGAAGTTCATACTCTGCCGATTTTTTTGCATGTATGCGTCTCTCACTTTTAGCGCCATGGCGTTAAAAACGAGGCTATTTTCTCCAAAAATTTGGTCCAAAACAGCGATGTTTCACCTATAACGCCATGGCGTTATATGCGCGGAAATACGGTATGTACATGTGTTTTCTTTTGACGAATGGTAAAGATTAAGCAATCATAAAATAGCAATGAAAAATATCAATTGTGCACTCATAACCATGCATAAACAATTAAAATGAAACAATTCCAGAACGTTTTCGTGTGACTATCATCAGTGGAGCATCGTCACATAATAAGAATCACTAAAACAACCAGTTATATAGCTAGAATATGAAAAGAAGCGTGAGAATGCAGCACAGCTAGCGGTTATGCATAACACATTCTCAGATACACTGCAACGGTTCACACTACACGCGTTATGCATACCCGCTAGCTGTGCTGCATTCTCATGTGCCCATTCTGTCCGTGCGCGGGATCCAAACCAAAAAATAAGTCCAGAAGCAGCCTTGGGTGGTGGGACAGGGCCCCTCAACGTGGCCCTGGAATCTGTCACAACGGCACGAGTGGGCGTTCTCTCACGGACCCCCACAGTCAATTTTAGATTTTTTTAGGTTTAGGGTGTGCTACGAGGTCGTACCTTTGATACAACATCCAGTGCTGGAACCTCGACAGCAAGCCATTTCCACAGCGCTGCACACCAAATCCAGGATGCCCTCAAAAATCGGCAAAGACTACCACTCACGTTCCACTACTGCCTAGTACTGAACCCTACCTGACTTCTTGACACGACTCAAACTTGCCAAAGTCGCTAAATCAACGTCAACTACAATAATCAAGCCACATATCTGCACCGCCACGAGGGTGCAGGCAAAAGTCCTGCTGCACGCCGCCGTGCAGCCCAATACATGGCTAAAAACGTGATTTTTGGAATTCTTCACACTTTCGCGTTTTTCCATGATACAACAAGTTGCACACGGTCTGCTCAGATTCAGATACAGTGCTGCCAAAAAATGACAGCGTGCAACAAAAATATCTTTCCTTGCAAGGGCACATTTTTGGCCATAGCTCTTGAACGGCTGGTCATATCGAGACAAACGTTTCAGAGATTTTGCAGCTACTAGTATTCATGCTCTTTCACTCGATATGAATTTACAAATTCGAACCTCCTCAGACTGGACAATAACAGTCGAGCCACACACAATGCTCAGGTTAGGTGGAGGGTGTGAGCGTCTGCCTTTGATGAATAGTATCTGGCTCCTGCTGGAATTCAGGAGCAGGCCATGATCTGTGAGATGCTGAATCACCAGAGTAAATATTCTTGCAAATAGTACATGCCAGTTCGTGGACGCAATCCAGAGACATGCAGGGTGGTGTGGTCAGCGTAAAGAATGCATTTGAAGCGAAATGGCAGAGTGGGGGGACATGTCGCGTGTAGATGCTGAAAAGGGTTGAACCTAGGAAGAAACCCTGAGGAGCGCCCCTGGTGTAGTCACTTGCGGTTTGGTGAAACAGATATGACTTGAACAGCTCATTCCACTGATCTTCAGACTATGAAGGTCACCATCATTTTCTATTACCGTTTGGTGGCGTGGTCAAAGGCTTTGCTCATATCGAGCAGCAGTACGCCCGTATAGTCTCCCGTGTCCATGCTTCTCTGCCAGTTCTTGAACGGAAGTGCTATTATGGTCCTCCTGTTCATTGGGAATTTCTCCCAGTGTGCTGTCCAGATGGTTGTGAAGTTGCTGGAGTACTATTCATTCCAAAACGTTGGAGACGAGACGAGTAGCGAGACTGGGCGGTAATTGGAACGGTCATTGAGGTCGCCTTTCTTGACACACAGACGCTAATTTGTAGGCTGAGGGTACCTTGACGCTAGACGATGACTGGTTGAAGATTAAAGTTAAAGAATTGGCCAGCTCGGCGGCATGGTGTTTCAAGATGTAAGCTGTTACGATGTCTGATCCACATGCTTTCTTGGTATTCACCCGTTCGAGAATCTTCAATACTGCTTCTGTTGTAACTGGTAGAAACTCGAGAAGGCAGTTGCCCAAACATTCGTCCGCTGGAGTGTCTGGGGTCGTAAGAACATCGCGCTGATCATTATCAACGATATTGTCTAAAAAATCACGGTTCGCGTGAGACTAGGCTGGAAGCCGAGTTTTCCGCATACGTAGAAACGCCACCACCACCCTACCCTCTAGGTTCAAGACAAGAGATATATGTAGAGTATGTGACAAAGATAAGAGGGGGGCTTTTTTCTTTTTTTCTCTATTGTCCCAAATGAATGCGCGTCGGTGTGGGGTGGGATTTTTCCCTTCCGGTTAGTTGATTCAGCACTGCTCGTTAAGGTAGCTCAAACCACTTTGGAGGTGGAAAACACTTTTACAGAAGAAGTGCTGTTTTCTCTGTTCTAAGTTGTTCTCTAGCATCTGCGGAAATGATATTCCTATGGGGGATACTTATGCATTTTGTTGTACTTATGGCCACTTGAAAGGCAACCGAGAAAACAGCACTTTTCTGTAAAACAAAATGTTACCTCCAAAGTGGTTTGAGCTACCTTAAAGTCTAGGAATGACTGCTGTGGCTCTAAACCTATCTTTGTAGTGCTCACTTTTCAGTTTATGTTTAGTAAGGTTCCTCCGCCGTATTGCCCGATATTGCTGTCTGAGGCGGTCATCCATGGGATGCGTTATTTAGGCGCAATGGCCTGACCTTCGTCGATGCAACATCTATTCCAGCTCTGGAGTGCCCCAGGGCTGGGGGCTGAGTTTGGGTTAAAGAGTGAGCTGCACGCTTCTAGCCGACGAATGGTGGAAAATCATTAGTATTGTCATGACACTTTGTTGCCAGTGGCTTGCGGCTGCATTTAGAGTATAAACACCTGATTTATCTGAGTGGTCCAGGATGTGTGTGAGAGCTGCAGACGTTTTACTAATGCCAAGCTGACACATTTGAGTGTACATCATGTACTGCACAGTCTTGACGGATAAATCCTTCATACCATCCATAATGGGATTATCTTGTTTTGTGTACCTTTGCATTATGTTCCATGACTCATCAACACTTGTTGTGATGCCCATCATGCATACTATGGATTCTTGATGTACAACATAAATTCTGCCATTTTTGTCACAGGGACCTGAGCAGCAATTCTTTAACATCTTTACCGGAAGGAGCATTTGCAAATCTCTTCAGGCTTCAGAACTTGTGAGTGCATAATTGGGATAAATGAAGAACTATCTCAGTGAAGTACATTGAAGTACAGTACAGTGCTGTTTTACTGAGGCGTTCGGTTTTGTATGATTCTTGTTCACATAGCTTTCCGGTTCATTTATCTTGGCATCTTTGAGTCACACAAGTTGTGTGCAATGTTGCTTTGCGTCCTTGAATCGTGGTTTGACCGTATTGTCCA